TTATAAATTATTATATTTAAAAGATTTATTTGCCAACTTTGGTAGTTATCATCAATATTAATCTTCAAAATTCAAATCTCAGAACTTGATTATTTACAATTTTTTTGAAATTATATTATGAACTATTTAGCATGGAAATTTTGTACGAAAGATTGTAGGTTATGAATTATTAATGACTTAGTTATTAAAGAATTTTATTTCATAAATTTTCGTGGAATATTAATATATCGTGGGGCTGGCGGGGTTGGGGGGGGGGGGGGGAGAGAAAGGAAGAAGAAGATGTAAATGTATTGAAGATAGGTAGATCGTTCGATTATATATGAAATAGGAAAGAGACGAAAGTGAAAGTATTTTACGAGTAGGAGAAAGTGAGGGAGGAACGATGAGAGGGACCATGGAAACGAAACGAAAGTGGCCTTACTAAATTTCGGAAAACATTTTCCATTTCGATATGGAAGAAAAGTGGAGGGGAGAGGAGATGCGCCCTTGTCGACGAAACCGAGGACTCCATGCATTGCGAAGTTAGTGTTGTTGTATGAAGTAAAAAGGGCCCTTTGGTGCGATTGTTATTCACCTGCGTACGGTTATTTTACCACAATACCTTGCAATTAAAGTTTTCAAAATAGAAGTGACGACATTGTGAAGCCGAGACATATCGAATTCTGACATCGCTATTAGTCCTGGCTGAAGAGAAGGAAGAAGGCACGTAAAAGCAAATGCGTATTATTATCGCTGAATGTTCGTGCGATTGCTCGTGCTGAAATTAAGTTGATAAATAAAAATTCAAGTGAAAACGAGGGGAGGACAAGATGATACTTTCTCAGCGGCCACGGTATCTTTGTTCACGCGATATTAATCAAGAGAAATGACTATTCGCTAATCGGCAACACCGAGCGAACACTCGCTCGTGATGGACTACGAAGTATTAGGAGACCGGAATAGCGTTGTACATGAATAAAGAGACAGAGAGCGAGATAAAGAGAGAGAGAGAGAGAGAGAGAGAGAGAGAGATAACTCGATTTGACTAAATTTTGTTGTTGGACGGCTGTAAGGATTGTTTGCGTCGAGCAGGTGGGGGAGGAGGAGAGGCAATTGGAAGGTAGCGCGTTCGGGGAAAAGATTGGGCGGAGAGTCTATTTGCCTAAGCGATGCCGTTCCAAATTCCCACGCGTTAAGCGAATAGTGTATGTATGGATGAGTGTTTACTGAAACAAGACTTAAATGGCATTTGGAACTTATTTTATTACTTATGTATGAACAAATGATTTACAATGCTCGCTGACTTTTAATTATAATATTAATATCTTAATAATCGTCATTTGAATCGCTGTGATTCTTTAATTTTACGTTTTTCTCCTCTCTCTCTCTCCCCCCTCTCTCTCTCTCTCTCTCTCTCTCTCTCTCTCTCTGTCTCTGTCTTTAAAATCATTTAGGCTTTCGAGTTTCTATTGAAGAAATAATGCTGTGCTTTATAAAATATTCGGCTTTTTAAACTAGCGTTTTTCAATCAACGTTGCGCTTGTCTATCGTCTGGAATCGAATTCGTTTGATTCCTGTGACATGTCAAATAATACGATTACGGCATATTATGTGTAATGTGAGAAATAGTGTATAGTATTGTGTTGTGGTAGTTTTATTGGTACCAATACACCGAACTCTAACGAATCAATTAGTTTTGTTTTGCCGAATTTGATCGAATAATGTTCTATTTTATGTCTTACATTGGATTAGCGTTACCACTACCATTAGCGTGAGCACATGATATTTACGGTACGGCACACCACGGGCATTATTTTAATATATATGAGAGTTCACAAAGTGCTTCTATAAGGACATGCTTCTACATTGCCATGTGATCAACTCGGCTAATTTATGCTTTTCTACTACAGCGAGTAATAGCATATAAATATTTACACATTTTTTTTTATCTCATTTTATTCCTACTTAGTTTTCTTACGCATCTGCCATGCATATCCACGACATTTTATGATTTGTCACAGTATTCACTATGCTTTCTGTAACAAAATAATGTTCTTCCGTTAAAAAAAAACTGATACATACTTGATAAGATAATATTTTCACCTTTTGTTTTGTAAAATTTCTCTTGAAATTCTAACGTAACAAACAGCATTGAGCGATGTTTATAAGACTTCTTTTCTTTTTTTTTTTTTAATTAAGCAAGCATAACGTAAATCCGTATATTAGAAAATCATTCATTGGAAAATATTATATTTTTTCTTTATTATACGAACGCGCATTTTGTCTGGTGATTATTTTTTAAATTAATAATTAACATCACGTAGACGCAACGCACGTATAATAATAGATATTACGATTTAATCACTATTCATTGCAAAGTAAAGTGACGTGGCTGAAGAATCAACATTTATTTAAGTAAAGAATGAGTCGCAATGAGAATGTATTCTAAATTGCCTGCTAATAATCACCAAATGACTTTCTTTCGGTACACGAGCACCGTCGACAGCCAAGAAGTCGGTAACATTATTACAAAATGATATTGAAAAAGAGCGATCGCCGATAATAGTGCAAAATTATATTTCTTTATAGATCTTTTCATTTTTTTCATTTTTCTTCTGGGAAAGCCAGGAAAATTCGAGTACCTGCATATGGGCCCAAGGCTTGGTAAAAATTCGCGGGAGCAGCTCGTAAAGCCGATCGAGGCGACGTTGGATGTTCCGTAACGAGCGCGAACTGAATTCCGTTAATTCGGACATTCTAATCGCATTAAAATCGTCGCTTAAACCCTCGCTGCTCCATTCACCCGGGCCCGATCGACGCGATCCTCGTCTTAATCGCACTCGCGCATTCACACCCCCCAGCACCACTCCCGTTAACCACCGCGACCTGCCCGTCCTGTCAAGTCAAGTCAAGTCAATGCAACCCATTCGAGACAAGCGAGATAGCGTGCGCGCCACGCGACTCGTACCTCCTCCACACACCGCCCCCCCCCTCCACCACCCCTCCTGACGTATTCGAAAAGGCGGCGCGCCGGCGAGTCGAGGAGGCGAGGTCCAGTTGAGCGAGCGATAAGTCGCTTTTCGTAGACGGCCGTGGACGCGCGCGACGAGAGCATCACCCGCGACGTCTAGTCCCAACCTCGGAGAATCGCAAGTTTATTGGGTGCGCACGCGGTTTCCGTAGGCCCCGCACGACCGCGGCCATTCTCATCGGGGATCGTGACGGTGGCCCGGCACCGACTGTGAGTGTCAAAGTGATATTTAACGAGCTCAACGGGTCCCAAAGTTCATCGGGGTTTGTTTTAATTTTCATGACTTTGAAGTCTTCGTCGTCGTTCGCCGTTGAGTCGTGTTTATCGACTGCTCACAGCACTCGTCCCGGGCTCTTGATTATTTTGTTACTTTCATGCTCGCTCAGCGTGATCTAATTAAATAATAATTTTGATAATTTATTGTACGTCGGCTTAACTTGTACAATGAGCTATGTCGCCAGCTGAGAGAGAGAGAGAGAGAGAGAAAATGAAAATACTGCAGTTAAAAAATAATCTTGCTAAAGATTAAATGTGTAAATCCCACGAGCTGAACTTATTATGACACTCGAAATCAAAAGCCTAAAGCTGAAAAAAATACTTTAGACCACGCAAACAATGTAGCGTTAAACGGTTATTTATTCGCTTTATGAGCTAGTATTTTTAAATAGAACGTAATTTTTAATCAATTGTATTTAATGAAAAAATTGTCGAGCATTAATTATATTCGAATAATAATTATCGTTGCGATTGTTTGTGCTTAAATATAATTCTGATATTTTATAGATTCATACGATGGAAGTGAAATTGTGCTTTCTTCTTCTGCTTCAAGCAACTGTGCAACTATGTCACTCGGGTAAGAACGAATGATAACATTATTATTTAAAAAATATAATATAAATAATTTTAAACGATTATTGTCTTTTAACGCGCGCGCGCGCGCGCGCACACACACACACACACGCCATATCATCGATAATTGATATAACGATTGATAGAAATTTTTATTTTTCTGTTCAAGTACATCTTCTACGATTATTGAAATCTAAAATTATCCAATAATTTTTGTTTTTCTAGACGGCTCGCAAACTCTGTTCGCAAGTACAGTAAAACAATATTATTTTTATAATATATTGCTTAAAAATGTACTATACCTTAATCTTTTCGTGTTATGTTGCAATCAATAAATCTACTATTTATACACTAAAATAAATTTTAAAATAATTAAGAGATGTTAGTACTACCAAATTTAAGCAACAAGCTTGAATAATATTATGTTTATATTCCTAATAAATGATTCTCTGTGGCCTAGAGTAAGTAGTAGAAAACGAGTTTACGCAGACTTTATTGGCCTTTTTTGACTTTATTGAGTCTTTTTCAATTTATTAAAAAGTAGAAATATAAAACAAATTCTTGATATTTAAAAAACAAAAATATAATTCACAGGATTAATAAATCCATCAATGTTACCATTGATAATATCAATAATAATAAATGCCGGTTTTCACTCGAATGATTTAATTATTCTTTACAAATAAATCATAATGAAATATATTATATTATATTAATATCTTAATCATTTTTTTGAATACTCAATATGTCTTTTGCCACTATAAATAAATAAATATTAATTATATTCGAATATTATAAGTAATATTATTATCTGCAATAAAATTGCACTGACGAAGCCATTATTTTAACGTTTTAAATGTCTCGAATATCTTTATCTTGTATACAAAATATATAAATATTTTATTCGTGATTGATGTAGTGTTACATTAAATAATTAGAATCGTTTCTAAAATTAGGGATAAAAGTTAAGAATTTCATATTTGTCATTGTAAATAATTATACGTTGCTTTTAAGCATAAATTAAATATAGAAATAATGTAGATTGTAATAATAATTATTTTTGATTTTTTTTTTGTTTTTTTTGTTTTGTTTTCACGGTTATGTCAATTTAGTAAACGCGAATGAATGAAATGTTCATACAATGTATTGTATTGATGTAGATTACGAACGGTAATTCAATGGTTAAGGGACACCTGATCGATTCATTTATAGTAAATTATACTCACATTATTTCTATTATTAATGTTCAATTGAAATATTTAAGAGATAAAATTAGATTAAATTATCTATGAATTTTGTTTTCAAGCCAATACGCTTATCCGATTTGATAGTTTTTATTTTCAAAAAGTTCTTTAAAAAATGTAAACCTAAAATTTGAATAAATCCGCAAACTTTTTAACGCTTCGATTGCTTTAGTAATTATCTAATCTCACTACGAATGTATGCATTGGCGATATAGGTAAAAGGCACATATTATGTAAATGATGATACATATAATAGAAATAGATTACCCGATTGAATACATATTTTATGATTAATTCTAATTAATCTTTGTTGTTGTTGTTGTTGTTGTTGTTGTTTTTATTGTACTGTAACAATGTATTCGACTCATTGATAAATTGTCTCGGTGACTGCAGATTTACGTATTTAATCAATTTAAAAAATATAAGGACTAGCAAGGAATAATGATTATACTCATAGAACATCATATAATATAAAATAGAAGTGATTGTTGTCATTGTATAAAAGTCACATTAATATATGCAGATAAACGTAAATCTATACTTATAATAACAACTTTAAGAATAGCATTAAGAAATGATGCGTCTAACTTTATAGTAAAAGACGTACTTGTCGGCCAATTACAAATACTTTTTACTCGTCTCGCGCCTATTGACAGAAACGTTATACTAATTTAATAATATTGAAATAAGATAAAGATGCCGAGTTTGCTGCGACAGAGTCATTAATAACAGTCTACAAAGAGAAGCCATTTTGGGGCTACAAAAAAAGCGAGGAACTCGTGCCACAAGTGGATTTGTCCCAGCATCCTTGCCGAAGAAGCTGCAAGGACAACGAGCCGCCTGCAAAGTGCAGCTATACTTTCTATGTGGAGCAATACTATACGATGAGTAAGGCCTGTTATGATTGTCCCACAAACATAACCGACTGCTTTAGGCCCCATTGCATACCGGCCGATGGGATCGACAGGCCCCTCGTAGTCGTTAATCGACAAATGCCGGGACCATCGATCGAGGTGAGAATTTGTTGTTCTTAAGCGATAATTATTATGCCAGAGAAACAGTAGATTTTCCAAGTTTATATGGAATCATTAATGTGAAGATATAGACTTAGGCTCGTGTTGCCTTATGGTTAGCAAATTATTAGGAAATCCAGGTTTTCATCGTTAAAAGGATAACTAGCATTGTAATTCTTTTAAATTATGTCGAGAATTGCTTGTAGATCAGACGAGATTGTGACGAATAAAATATCGTCTCACTTTCTACTATATAATCGCTATAATTAATTTATATGATTTATAAATTGTAAATTTGGTTAAAAAGAATTAGCGTAGATTAGAGAAACAGGCGATGGATCGATTTAATTTTTTTTATTGACTTACAATAATGCTATTACCGCTGAAAGTCATCGAGAACTTAAGATTTAAATTTTATTGTTTCATTCGATATTGCAAAATGGGCAAAAAAGTTCTTTCAGAAACAATCGAAAAGTGGATTGCATTTTTTAAATTTATAAACTACAAAAGAAAAAACTAAATTCAATACAACTTGATTTATATGTTTGTACTCGTGAAAACAAAATTATTAGATATATGAAATATCAAAATTTCAATAATTTGTTATTAAGTGGACGATTATTGTCCAGACATTTCATTACCTTATTTAATTAAGTATTTGTTTAATTGCGGAACCTAGATTAAATTCAGTTCCCGAAAGTAATTTTATACGTGAAGAAAATATGAATATAGAAAAATATGGCAAATTTGAAAAATTTCGTTCAAACAAACGGACGATTAAGTCTAAGGATTCTTTGAAATTCTAAAGTGATAAGATAAATAATCTATTTTAAAGGTTATAATGACAAACATTATAGATACAGATTTTTTATTGTACGATATAAATCAATTCAGAAATGTAACCGTTAATATTTTAAAATTTATAAATAAGGTATGCAAACGTAATAAAACTTATGAGTAAGCACACTCTTATTTCCAAATATATTTCTTTTAATTAAGAATAATGGCATTTCAATTTATTTCGAGCACATTAAGAAGTTTGTTTTTAATATAAGCAAATAAATTTACTGAATAAATTATCTAACACTTGATGTATTCGGTTTAAGAGCCATACACGAATATTTGACGTTTAATAAGAATAAAATTTAAAATTGTATCTGCATTTAAATATAATAGACGATCATATAATTCCTAATTAACTACGAGCATTAATTTCGCTTGGGTAAATTTACTTGCTAAACAAATAAAATAGATCAATTTAAGGGAGAAATAATTACAAAAATTTAAGGCTCAGTATGGAAATGTAAAGAGATAGGTGAGAATACATTTTTATAAATAGATATATAAATATACGTGATTGTGTTGAAAATAAGAATAGTTCTATAAGTCTTTACGACTTTACGAAGTTTTTCATCACTTGCGACACTTCTATTATTTCCATTTTTATTTCAAATTCGCATGGATGTATAATTTAAATTCTAGCAAGATTGCATTTCCTAAGAGATTAGAAAAATTAGTTATGCCATATATATATATATATATATATATATATATATAAATCATAGAGAAACTAGGCAAGGCCTATCTATCCCAATGTTACTTTCTCGGTGTATTTAAATGTATAGCTGAGATAATTATTGTAATTGTAATTCAAGCAGCCATTGTTCACAATACCGAAATTTACTAACATTCGATAATATAAAAAGTTTTAAAAATATTTGTTCTAAGAAAATTGTTCGAGCCATGTAAAGTTCAAGCAATATAAATGTATTTTTTATTCCAGCCAATTGTATATTTTAACATTAAAAAATTATGCAACTTTGAAATAATCCACATTATTCAAATAGTATTTTAATTAAATGCTTAGCAGTATTGTAGCTATTTTAAATTTCATACATCTCAGTGTTCTCTATATGTTGGTGGATGCATTCAAATTTTTTAATTTCATGCCCGTGCATATTACGTATAATGCCACTGGTTTTTCATAATCTTATGTTTTCTCAATGTCCTGTGTAATTAATATCCAAGTAATAATCGAGATTCTACGATAAAAAGTGCACGATATGTCAATGAAAAGCTTTTTTGTTTCCATTATAAGCTATTTTTCTCTAAAAATGATATATCAATTGTGACGGACGAAGTATCAAGGAAATAATGTTAATTATTATTAAAAGACCAAATTACTATTAAGCACTGAGTGTTAAAAATATTTTTAAACATTATTTAATATCTGGCATTATTAAGTATTTAGAATTTTTCATAATTCTATAGTCAACAAATTTTACATTAATCTAATTCCTCTAAGTTAAATGAATCATCTTCTGTTTTTGTTATTAATTTTATTAAAATATTTAAGAATTTAGATTAGTTTAATTAATTTTTTTTATATCATTCTTACTAAAGCATCATCTTCCCGAAAAATAACATTATCATTTGCAAAATTTCATTATCAAGAATTTAAACAACGAATTACTTTCGCGCCATACGAATAATTCTATGAAATTCTATTTAAATACCAAATACACTGCTACAATTATTTTATCAATTCGCGAGAATTTCGAAATTTTCAATACTTTACTATGAAATGAAGATTACAGATGAATTCTTTGTCTGGCTCGTAGGTAATTCTGTAACGATTAGTTTAAGGTCTCTCGAAAACAAAAATTCTCTTTCTGTCTACGTCATTCATCTGCAACAGATCGAATTATTTCAAGGAACAGCTGCACGTGACCCCTCGTCCTTGATTAAAAATCACTCGTGTCATTATTCAATTCGTTTATCCCCCTCGATTTATTTCTCATTTACCTCTTCTCCCCATTTCTTACAATAAGCGCTCTGTCCTTCTGAGTAACACTATTAACGCATTCTTGACGCCTGTTTAACTGATGATTCGTATACTTCGATTTAATTAGACGTACGGAACTTAGGTGGGGAATATTATAAAGCTTATGACAAATAGTGAGAAAAGTAGAAGGAGGAGAAAATGAGGAAGCAGGTGGTAAGACAAGGGCCGAGCATTCTGACTAAATGTGGTAACGAACAAAGTTGATTTCCACAATGCGGGTTAATCGATTTACCGAATATCCGTATTTACATAGCTGATTTAATTAATTTCCCTTATAAGGATTTTTCATTCGATGTTTACTACATTACTAATTCTTAGATTAATAAATCATGCATTACCACCAATTCACGATTTATAAACAATTTTTTTAACAAATCATTATGTAATTTTAAGCAATAACAGATGCATCAATATCATGATTTCTTCTAGCATTCAATTTAGAATTATTTACAATGAATAAATTACAAAATTACATTATTCATAATGCATTATTTCACATCACAGCTGAAGGAAGCATTTATTCATTTATTTGGGCATGTTTTCGGAAAGATTTCAAATCTTCGTCAAATATTTATTTAATAATTATGAAAAGAAAAATATAACTAAAAGAAAACGAATAAACAAATAATATTAATCTCGATATTTATTGTTCTCATAAATATGATTTATTACAAAATTACATAAAAATAATTTTCATATTGAGAGGTTTTTTTTTTTTTTTTTTTTTTTTTTTTTTTTTTTTTTTTTTTTTTTTTTTTTTTTATATAATGTATAAATATCTTAGAAATTTTAAGCGATGTTTTATAAAATTAATTTGTTGATGACAAAAAAATCATGATATTATTAAAAGAAACTTTGGCAATGTTTTTTAAACTACAATATTAAACATTATGATTGGTAATTAAATTTTGTAAAAAGAAAGTAATGACGCCACTATGCAAAATAAACACATCTTGCAAAAACGTTCTATTGTGTAAAAACTTAACCTCAAGAATAATGCATAGCTAATAAAGTTTTTCCAATACATAAAATTAACTGACAAATACCGTATTCGCTTGTTTTGAATGAGCTAATCAGTTTAACGTTAATCAGTACAAATTTTAAAGCTTTATGATTCTTCATCAATTGTGTTATTAGAATTTTGATTGTCAGTTGTCAGTAGCATATCTAGCACAATTTTTAATGAAAATTATTTCTTAGAATTATACAGATATCATTAAATATCTACCAACACGATTTTCAACATTATCGTACAATAAATATTATAATAATAAAAAAATTGAATAATATCAACGAATTAACGATACTATATGATAATTTAATATAATAATACATTTTCTTTAATAATCCTTGCCATAAATTATAAAATGTAAGGCTACATCAGAACAAATTTTACGATTAGGTTCTAATAAGAAATCGAAGAAAATCTATTATTAGAGAATTTAACGAAAAATAAGAGAAAATTCAATTATTGGTATATATGTGGAAAAACAAAACAAAGCAAATATAATTCAATGTAAATGCACTGATATCTTCATTATTAGTTACATTGTATCCTTATGACTTTTAAATATTTTAAAGTTTATTTAAATTTTCAACAATAATTTAAATAAGCAGGTAATTTTTAGGCATCATCTATATAATACAATTTTGTCAAATAAAATATATTTTTCAAATATTGATTTTAAAGGAAAAATTTAGTTATTACCAACACTAATCTTATTGAATAAATTTGAATTTGAAAAAATAAAATGGTTAGTTTCAATTTTTTTTACTTTATTTTTTTCTTCCTTTTTTATAACATGAAAGTCGCTGTCGTAATAAGTATAAATCATTTTCTGAAAAAAGAAAAATAACGGAGGATACAAATAAAAATATGCCCGCATTGTTATTGAGAAATATCTGATTGACAAGACTTGATATACATGCCTTATAAATAAATACCTGTGTTTCTGAAAGGATGTTAATCATTATGATTAATTGTTATTTTAAATTAAGTAAATTCCTAATGTGTGCGTATGCGTTATATATATCTATATATATATATATATATATTTATGTATCCAATATTTTAATTCACTAAAGATATTTTATAATATTTGGACATATTTGGAATCTCGACTTGTAAAATATCAATATTATCTTGAATTAGAATTGCAATTTATATTAATTTTTCTTAAACGAAATGATTTTTTTATATTTTTCAATACACGTGTACAAAATGTTCGATTCGTATTATTACATCGATATACTAAGTTAAAATAGCCGTCCAGAAATAATTTCATTTATATATATATATATATATATATATATATATATATACACAAATAATATTTTATTGGATTTATTCAAATATATATTAAAAATATTTTATAATTCAATATTTCAACATTTCTGTTATATATAATACAATTTTTAATAATCAAATTACATTATTATTATACTCTTAAACATAATTATACTCTTAAACAAACTTATTATTTATAGAATTGTTTATTAGCTACATCATATATAAAGCAGCTCATAATATATTTATAAAAAAATTTGTATTTGTTGAAAATTAATAGTAAAATTATATTAATTCTATTATAATTAATAGATTTATATAATTAGTAGAATGTTTGTTTAATCTAGAAAATAAATATTTCTATAATTTAAATTTATTTGTCTATTAATTTTCAATACGAATATTCTACATTAAGAAAATGGATTAAAAAATTGAGAAAGAATTACACGGTCATTTAATAATATATTTGCATTTATCGGGAATATAAAAGTATGTGACAGAAGAATTGATATCGATTACTTATTTAGTTTAATCTTACAATAATAAAGAATAATGAAATTATTAGCTACAGCCTTTAGCAATGATTTTTACTAAGGAGTTAAATAAATCTCAGATTTATAAAATAATTTCTTACATATAAGGCATTAAATGATTTGCAAAATATAGAACAATGTTAATGACAAGGAAAAAAAATTTTTTTTTCATATTTTAAATTGTAGGGAGTTTTTTTTTATTACATATTGTAACGGTTTTTGATAAACGTGAAATACGGTATTTTGCAAATTCAATAGAAGATGCTGAAAAATTTTGATCTAAATCAATATTTTATGGTACATAAAATGTTATTTAAAATTTTTTTTCGAAAAATATGTAAAAGTATGATTTTTCAATATAGATATTTTCAATTATCCTATAAAGGCATATCGCTAAAAATGTATAAATTAAAATAAAATGCCATTAGCCTTATTACTCATTCGCAAAAAGTTTGCCGAAATTTGCCCGAAACGTGAAATTGTGAACGTATTCATTCTAACGCCCATAAATGTTACGGAATTATCTCTTATGTAATTGATAAAAATATTTCGGCTGCTTTTTTAAAGCGCCGACTTTGATGGTTAATGTGATAAAAAAAAAATACGACGCATACCCGTTACACAGGTTTGCGAGGACGACGAGGTAATAGTGAAAGTAATCAACATGATGCACGGGGATAGCACAACCCTCCATTGGCATGGTCTGCACATGCGCAGAACGCCCTACATGGACGGGACCCCTTATATCAGTCAGTGTCCAATTCCACCAGGGAACAAGTTCCAATACAACTTCGTCGCCAAACCTCACGGCACTCATTTCTGGCACTCGCATGTCGGTAAGCTCATACTACCAAATAAATAGTCAATAGATTATTTTTATGCCCAGTGAGGAGGAGGAGGCACCAGTACATTGATTAGCTGGTAGGTATTAACCGAAACAATTGACAATTAAACTATTAATAATTTCAACTTTTCAATTTTTGTACCTTATAATAGGTATATTATATATAGTTACAATGTGTGTAATAAGGATAATTTTTAAATCCTCTCCCCTCCTTGTGTCATTGAAATCACTGTAGACTAAAGATTTTTATCTATTGTTACTTATCCGCAGCTTGAATTTGCAGGTAAATTGTTTATCATACATGGACAATAGGAGTATTACGCGAATTATGTTTATAAGAGATTCGAAATTTTTAGATAAATAGTTACTATTATAAGCGATTTCAATTTTGGACGTTTAAGGATTTCGATAATTATACCGCATTATATAGTCACAAATACATTAAACATAATGACTGTTTCACAATCGCTAGTAACTGACCTTATTTCAATGTCGAATTCATTCATTCGATGTTTCTTAATTTAAATATCAACAACCCAAGATTTGTCAATTGGTTAAATGCATAAATTTTCAATTAATAGTTTTCATAAATTTTCATATACACTTTTAGGCGTAATGAAAGCAATATTATTTAAATTTAGTTCAACGGTTTACTGATATTGAAAATCCAAAATTTACAAACAATTTCAAGATCAAATGTTGAAAAATAATTACTTTAAAATTATACATAAAAAATGTTAATAAAATTCAACTCTTTCGATTAAAATTCTTTATTGTATTTTAATTAACGTAATCTTTCAAAAGAGTAAAAATAGGAATAAAACCTAAGATACATCTTTTTTTGAATTTTTTTTAAGTTTAACGCTTCAATAATGAATACATCTGCATTTATAAACTTGTATACATGTTTAAATAAATTTAGTACCGTACTTGAAAATAATTTGACTGTTATAAAATCTACGGCGACCCGCTAGCAGATATTTTGATTTGTAAATATAATTTGTATAAGTTATTCTTTGTTGTTGTTTTTGTTTTTATTTTTTATAAATATCTTTCCTTTAACGACTGATTGAATTCAATGATTTCATATTAAAACTTATATTTAAACTTGAGTCTTATTTCTTAAAGTATTAATTTATTTATAATTTTTTTGTTTGTTTTTCGGTTATTTCGAACGTAAAACATAACGATTTTCTAATATCGATAGTACTGATAAATAATAAATCCATATATCTCCTTCTATTTACTTACAGTTTACTTTCGTGATAATTCGGAATTATTAGCGTCAGCTTCTTTTGTTGCGCATTATGAAATTTCACAATGAGTATAACAAAGTTTTGGCAATAAATTAACACATAAGTGAATATACGTGATGATTTTTGTTTTGCCTTGATTTAATTTTTTTTTTGTTATGAACTTAATACGATAAAGCATACAATACATTACGTATAAACGGTGACTAAAGGCAATGCGATATAAGCACATGAAAGCGCGCGACAAAAGCTAGAAAAACTGAAAATATAAGTTTAATCGGTAAAATTTGTTAAATTATCGTTCCATTATTTCTTATTTAATCATTAGGATATTTAGCTAAAGCCTTCTATTTTAATGCCAATAAAAGGATTAATATTTGTGAAATCATATATAATGTTAATTCTTTCTATAAATATAAACCAACGAGAAAGATAAAAAATATATTAGATTATTTACTATTTAAAAAGTTAAACTTTTTTTTTATTTTTTATAATTCTTGTGAATTACATATCATCGTCATTTAATACGTTTGTGTTGAAAAGTGTTTACTATTTGTGCAAATGAGAAAGATAAATACATAAGCGCGTAAAAGAGAAATTGTAGTATTACAAAATAAAAGCCTATCTGTCCCCTACAAAAGCATTTTGATTTTTTAATAATTTCTTCTTCAATAAAATTTACGCAAACATTTATATGTTAGTTTTATGTGTACAATCAATATTATTTTATTATTTTAATAGCCTTTAATAGCTAGAATAATCGTTAGTCTAAATATATTTTAAAGATTAATTATGGCACATAGGCAGATGTGAATTCTTACATATTATATAATTTATATCAGGACTTATTTTCTTTTGATTTTCCATATATTTTAAATTTCATCTTGAACAATGCATTTTTATGAATACAAAATTTTTTAATTGTAATGTAACAAATAAGTCGTTTATGAATTACGGACTCATGGGAATGTTATGAGATAAATTTTATATCAGTTAATTTATGGAGATTAACCAGTTAAATATAGTATATTTTGTAAATATATTTTGTCATCGTTGTATCAATTAAGATAATAAAATAATGCTTTCAGTGATGTAATATTCAGTGATTAACAAAATATCGTCAAACCTAAGCTACTATACAATTATACCATTGGGAGTACTAAGCTCATTTCACTTGGCTTAATTAATTTATGAGTTTAAGGTATAATTTATCGTTTAGCTTACATAGGGAAAAGCTTCGATAGATTAAACTATTTCATATTATTTGTAATGAGCAATTTTCCGGAAATTATTAGTGTACGTTTATCAAAATTTAATCTTTATGAATTATCGAATGAAAGTCTCCTCCTCGTGTAAAAGTCATTTGTCGGAATAAAATTTTCAAGGCGCCTCTCTCGATTCAATTAGTTTTGAATTACAAAATACAACTAGAGATAGATCGCTATAAATTTTCATCTGTCACGTATTTTATTTATTTATTTATTTATTTATTTATTTATTTTAATTAATTAATTAATTTATTTATTTATTTTGATTTATTTATTTATTTTATTTTTTTTAATCAAACACTAGTCTGTCCCATCAATAATAATACCTTGCATTGTAATAAATCGATTGTACGACTTATATCCGGCAACGCTTCCTCGCGAATAGCGCGCGCGCTCTGTCTTTATAATTTCAACCGGGAAGCGTCAGATGAAATTATATATCATACCCTTAGGTTTCCAAAGGGGTGACGGTATGTTCGGGCCTCTGATTGTGCGCAGAGCACCGAAACGAAATCCTCTGCACAATCTTTACGACTACGACGAGCACAACATCATCGTTTCCGACTGGGATCACGAGCTCGGGCTTGAGAAGTTCCTTGCTCATTATCATGGGAGTGGCGATAACAAGCCACCGAGTATCCTGATCAACGGTATGGGCCGCTTCGAGACAATGGTCCAGGATGATGAGAATTCCAAATTCATGCTGCCCGTGGCTACTTTCGTCGTCAAGCAGGTAACGTCTTCTAGATCATTCGGCCGATCAGCTACGTGAAAGGTCGCACGTATCAAAAGTGAACCGATGATTTTCCATTTAAACTCGAGCGAAGGTTACTTTTTGTTTTTGCGAGGTGGCAGGCCATACATTTTTAAATTATTTCTACCGTATTAATTATTGCTCGTCGGCGATCTATTATTTAACGAATAATTCCAGCCTACAGGTAGAGAATATCTATATTTATATAGAATATTTATATTTTTATTTAATTTTTTGTTCCTTTGTTTTTTTTTTGTTTTTGTTTTTTTTTTTGTAATACTTTATACTCGAGTCTCTTAATTTTGCAAGTTTTTGCATGGCATTTACATTACGAGCTAATAATGAAATAGAGATCGACGTATAATCGGAATACTTGCTATTTCGTTAAATGAAAAGTGCGCGATGAATTTTGCTTCTTTAGTCTCTATTAATTTAGCGTGTTCTATCTCCTTACCCTATTAATCGTTAAAATTATGCAATTAAATAATTAATGCCCGACATTTGTTAAGTATTTAAATAACAAGATCATTCTCGAGTTATTATAATGAAACATGATTCATCCTACGGATCTACAAATCTTGGAACATTGGAAAATTTTATGTTCAAGATGATCAACAATTTTACGAAATCAATCATACTATAATTAATTAATTTTGTAATTAACATCTGTGTATCGAGGTGATTTTCAAACAGGTATTTCAATATATTATTCACATTTTCATGAAGCTGAAAACACTGAAATCACGCTATCCACGATGCAAAATGTCTCTCAATACATACTAAGGCAACTTACCTTGTTTACCAATTGGTTAACATAAAATTACAATGTGCCATTAAAAATAAAGACTTTTTAAAGTAAGGAGACTGAAATAATGCTTTTATCGCGATAAAGTGTCAATCGCTAGGAGGTCACAACGATTACGCGTAAGTTTCGATGATGTATCTCTTAGTGGGCATTTGGTACATTAGGAACGACCTTAGAGAAGAACACTTACCGACATACGCTGATTTTTTCCTCATCTCTCGTACCTCCTCGGGCCATCATCCGATTTGTCAAGTCCTCTCCGAAACATTTAGCAACGTACTCCCGATTACTTGCCAATCATGCTTCACGAGCTCATTATGCAATATAAAATTCCGAGCATTTGCGCTTAAAAAAGCGAGCCATTAATCGCATTGCCGTGGCGTTGTTCCTTTTTTACTTTTGCCTTTAAATGCTTCAACTTCCCGGTCGCTGTAGCTTCTGAATCCCTCGCCTTTTATTCCTTAGCTGTATGACGCACTACAACTGCATGATCTACGAGAGAAAGGATAATTTCAAGCCGATCCTTGATTCACGGGATTTCCGGCTGTATTTGACTTTTTTTTTTTCTTTTTTGCGTGTGTATCGGAGACCTTCGTAACCGTCGATGATGATGACTAATCGACGTGCGATGGACGTAGCCAAAATATCGTTGTCCGTTTTGTTTTTCGATAATTTTTTTGCGCTCCCAATTTATTCCCAATGTTTTATGTTGCTTAAATTTTGCACATATTACGTAGGTTGTAATATCATATAGCGTATTTTTTATTGTTCTTTGTAATTTTTAGATTCGGCTTTAATTCATTGTACAAGTGAGATGAAAATTAGCGATAAATGTCTCCGTGACAACTGACGTAATAATAGACGAGAATATTATATTTTTAGTTTTTAATTAAGTTTAAAATGAGTGGTTACACGAGCAAAGTCTTGTATCAAAAAGTTTGCCAATTAATTTACCCTTTGCTTCGAAAGTATTCTTATTGACATATTTTTAAACGACAGATAATGATTTTCTGTGTTTTTATCATTTGAAGTATTTTAATTTCAAGACGAATACGAAATTAAAAATACTTTGTATACATATATATATATATATATATATATATATATTAATAATATTAATTTCTAATTATTATTAATATGTTGCCAGAGACTTTTGCCATTAATATGACTAACTTGCGTCTCAATTTAAAATATAGAATTTTTTATTGAACGAGGAATTTTAATAGATTTTATAAAACTGCGTAATGTAAGAATGTAAAAATGTACTATTGTAAGGTGATTTATTCTAAGCACGTGAGAAGTTTTGATGGCATATATTAATAGTAGTAGCAACCAAGGTTTAATAATAAAGAACTGACCTTAGAACTTTATGCTATAGTATGATATAATGAGCCGAATGTAACTTTCTAGATACATATTTTCATGCACTAGAAATACAAATTTTTCAGGTCACGTCTATGTAACTAATAGCAATAAGTATTTGAACATTGTTGTTTTACAGGATTTTAAATACCGATTTCGCATTATAAACGCTGAATTCTTGAACTGCCCTATACAAATATCTATCGATAACCATAATCTTTGGATTGTGAGCTCTGACGGCAAAGACGTAGAACCATTGGAAGGTAAAATTTTATTATCTAAACGCTCTAGCTTTTCTTATAAAAATAAATTGCCTCTTTTCCGTATAGATTAGTCTTGGATTTTTGTTGCTTGATAATTAAGCTTTCAATACTATTCATAATCTAATGTGGCATTTACATTTGATTTAATTATCATTACTCAATGACTATTTAACTTCAAAATTATGATAATTAACTTAATTAACAATTTACAACCGTTAACCGTTAATTATAATATTACGAATTTTGTTTTTACAGTCAAGTCTGTGGTCACATATGCTGGAGAACGATTTGACATTATAGTTGAAATGAATCAAGCAGTGAATAACTATTGGATGCGTTTTAAAGGTTTGATGGATTGTGGAGCAAACTTTACGAGTGCTCATCAAGTTGCAATTTTACGATACGAAGGTGCACCCGATAATGATCCAGATGAGCACGTTTCTTATAATTTTCCTGATTCAGAAGCATTGGTGCCGGTATTATTAAAATCTTTTTTTAATCGTTAATTAATTTCAATTCCCTTCAATTTTCAATGTTTATTATTGCATTATTCTGTATAGTTGAGAATATATCGATCAATGAGATATGACAATCAATGGATTACATAAATTTAAAATATTCGAATTGAATATATTAATTATGTAATTAAAGTTAAATTAATTTTTTCAATTATAATTTTTTACTTATATTAGTTATAAATATTAAAATCATGACATTACTATTCTTTAGAATGAGATTATTTGTTGAATCAAAATGCACGGTGACGAAATGAACGTAATTTATGAATTATTTAATTATAACGTCAACAAAGCTATGAGTTAATAATATTTATAACTAAGAAAATTAACACTCGTTTCATTACCTTTTTCCAATTAACAAAAAACAAAAACAAAAAAACAAAACAAAAAAACAAAACAAACACGCATTATATTACAGGAGATTAATCCTTTAAATAAAGGTACAGAGACAAAGGATATTTTAAGCATTCTTTCTTTAGAAGCACTTGATAAAAATGACCAAGTTAATACAATGGATCCGGATTACCAATTTTTTGTATCATACGATTTCTACATGATAGATAATTATGAATTTCATCGAAAACATCTCTACGGATATCAGCAGGGTAATTAATAGTACTAATTTTCATTTTTTTTTTCTTTTCTTTTTATAAGCGATTTTAACATAGCATAATAATAAATCATTAGCGCGTATAATTTTACCGAAGATCCTTTGAAATATATTAGTTTTGACGGCAAATAAGCGGTTTCTTTCACCAGTATGAGAAAAGTCGTTGGAGAATTAATTTCACATATTTGGCAGAATATGAATGATTTCATAAAGTTTGAACATAATGATGATCGATCCTTTTAAAAATTCTGCTAGAATGTATTATCTTTTTTTATTCTTCTTCTTCATTATGACTGTCACGTATGCTTCGAACGATTAATAGATTTCTAAATAGAAAATCTTCGTAATATAAAAGATATCTTAAGTATCCAGTATTGTCGATTGCATACATATACGCATATTGTTCTCTATATTAATTTATATTTAGATTTAATAACAGAATTTTAATTTGTTTATCGACGTGACAATATAATTTTATAGCAAGCCTCATTCGCAATAATAAAAAATTTTTTTTTTTCAAACTTTCAATTCGAATGTCTTAATTGCAATTATTATTATTATTATTATTATTATTATTATTATTATTATTATTATTATTATCATCATCATCATCATCATCATCATCATCATCATCATCATCATCATCATCATCATCATCATCATCATCATCATCATCATCATCATCATCATCATCATCATCATCATCATCATTATTATTATTATTATTATTATTATTATCATTATCATTATTATTATTGAAGGAGCAAATTTTTGGATTAATTTGCTCGAATTTATGGTAATATTGTCATTATTAACGCTCATAAAGTTTATACATAATATTAAAGCTTTAAGGATATAAATAAAAACATACACTGTCGAGATATTCATTTCCATAGAGATGCTAATTTAATGTAGAAATTAAAAATTTATCTAAATATGTAAATTCTAATGAATCGGGTTGTTGAAAATTCAAATGGCCTGTCTCGTCTTCACATTACCAAGCGGCGCGTCAACACCTTTCCCAACAATCCTTTCCATCGGAATTCTCCGCTATTCTCCGACTGAAGCCGCAATAACTTCACGCACACGCAACTCTCGTCGAGCGTGTATTTCACACATTCTAACATTGTTTTGTAATGTACAGTGAAGCAAAAAGTCGGCACACCGCAGTTGAATCACATATCGATGAAGTTGCCGTCTTTTCCACTCATGTCACAAAGAGATCTCATTAACTCGGCAAGATTTTGCAACGAGAGCACCGTCGAAGGTTGCGACAAAACCTATTGCAGATGTACTCACGTGCTGCAGGTGAAGCTCAACAGTATTGTCGAAGTTGTTCTTATCGATGAAGGTACGATCCATACGAATATTCCTGACATTTCACATTAATTGCTCCCTTGTAATAAAATAATGCGTCGATAAGTGGGCTCGTTAAACGTAGAATACGGGACTTTGATAATGTACCGCGCGATGAAAGGAAATATTACTATCTTCGAGCCTCTTACGTCAACTAACTAACAAATAACATAAATACATAAATTCATTTATACATAACAAATTCTTCGCAGCTATATAATTGTCGCTTTTATTTTATTATCAATATATCTTATAATATTTTCTCTTAGTAATTAAATGTCGTATTATAGATGCTTTAGGGTATTATTATTCAATGCCCAGTCGAATGGTGTAATTTACTAGAAAAATACCGCCTCTAATAATTATCACTTAACAAATTTATGAAAATTCTTTCGACCAATTGTAATATATTTGCAACTGAGTAGTAAAATAATTCTTTTTAATACTACTCGAGATGCAAATCTTACACACGTCGAATATTTCTTTACAATGATAAGCGATAGAACTTTATAAATTATGTCCAAGTAACAGTTTCATTACTGTTATTTTATACAAAAATGTTAAAACTGAAAATAAGAGCGAGAATTTTCATGCTGCGTAATTATAATAATATTTTCGTATATTATATAATAGTTATATAACTCGTAAGAAGAAAATATTTTTGGAGCACACTCAATACATAATATACATGAAAAATATTTTTGTTTTTTATAAATAATTTAAGTATTTGATTAATTTTTAGTAATTATGAAGTTGGCATAATTTTAAATTTGATTATTTATATATCTTTTGGAAATATCACAATTAATCAATATTTAACTCCCACGATTATTATTAAAGTAATTAAAATAAATATTTAGTCTACTTTTTAAAATATTGATTACATAATTTTTTTTCTTTCGCTTCAAATATAATTGGTTTAACGCAGTTATTTAAATTATCATACTTTCTATATCCTGTGTAATATCGAAAAAAAAAAAAAATTTACAAGTTATAAAATTAATTTAGTTCAAGGTAACTAGGCAGAGGAAATTAAAAAGAGAGATCAATCTTACTGCTCAAGTCAATGTCAAACTCATTACAAAATCGTGGATATAGTTTTTAAGAAACGTTTCATTGTATAACTCTGTCTCTGTCTGTCTGTCTGTGTGTGTGTGTGTGTGTGCGCGCGCGCGCGCGTGCGTGTGCGTGTCCGCCTGTGTGCGTGTACATGGGTGTGCTTGTTTCTTTATCGTAAATAATTGTTTGCTATTTAAATATAAAATCATCCGATATTAAAAAAAAAATAATTGAAATTCTTTACATTCTCCGTAACATTGCAAATGTTCTAAATTCGACACTTTAGCGCAATACAAAATATTAAAAATACGTTCAATTCTGTAGTTATATTCTATATCGATTTAATTTTACACTTTTATCCTTACTTAAACTTAACTTTGACACTTGATGTGTATTGTTCTACATGTGTATATAAATTTACTATTCTCAAATGCAACGGATTTTATTGTGTCATTGATGAGGAGTAAGAGTAAGAGTAAGAGAGTGATAGAGTGAGTGAGTGAGTGAGAGAGAGAGAGAGAGAGAGAGAGACAGAGGAAAATATACAGAATAGCTCGTTATATAGGATTACGTCTATAAATCACTGTGTCTCCTTGCACAAGATCTACATCATGTCCATTCATTATTCCATATGATCTCAAAGATAAGTGATTTTTTATTGATTATTCATTCATTTATTACTTTAAAACTTGTCACGTAAATTGAATATCAAACAACTCCTCCATTGCATTGATAATGATGCAACTCATTTATCAGCATATTGGAATGGAATTTGAACTTTATATACTTTTTAAATTAATAATCATATTGATAATTGATTTATTTTTAATTTAGATAAATATGTAACTGAATACTTAAAATCGAATATTATAATTTATGATATTCTCTAATTGATTTTTGTCCACATTCTTTTGCTAAATAATTATATTTAACAATTTAAAACGATGTATTTCGGTTACATTGATCTAAGTTACACTCGCACAACAAATATTTAAAAATCCATTGACATTAAAGCGTAACGTTATTCACTCATAATGATAATAACCAACAGTCAATGTCACTGCGTATCCTAATATTTCAAATACTTTCAATAATTTATTTCTTACGAACTTTAATTCTCATTCGCCATTTTTCGCCTCAAATTAAGTATAACACTTACTTTATGCACACTATGCGTACTAAAAATGCATGTATTTTGGATATAAAAAGATGTATTTGCTCCCTATAGTCTGTATTAAATAGGCATATGGTAAGAAATGTCTTGTAGCCATTTCTAGTTAATTAAACAATGAGAGTCGCGTGCTTAGGCGTGAAAAGGAAAGTTTGAGCGACGATCCACCGAAATTTCCTTAAGGCTCCGTTACGAGCGAGTGTCGACTAATCGATCGTACACAAACATCCGAGCTCTTGCACACTGTTAACGGTCGTTAATGAATAATTAGCAAATGCTAGATGCACGTGATGGATTGGCATATTTTACCTTCCTCCTTTGGCAATTACATGACATAATCAGTAGCAGCAGCAGCAGCAGCAGCAGCAGCAGCAGCAATAGTAGCATTCTGTTCTCGGGTCTGAAAAGCGAGCGCCGAGCTGAAAATCATAAAGAGAAAAAAAAGCATCGACAAAGAATAATGAGTGAAGAATAATCGCGACTTCAGCCTCGAGCGGTCTGTGGCTTTTCTAACGGCGCGCGAAGAAAATCGCTCTCACATAGGTGGAAAAGCGGCCTGGTTCGGCGAACCTTATGTATGCTAAACCCATCGCGTACGAGGCGTCGCCGCGGGAATGTTAGGAGGAATCGCGATGCTCATGTAACATTGTCGCAGGCTTGCCATATGACGCCAACCATCCGTTTCACCTTCACGGCCATGATTTTCGCGTGGTCGCCATGGAGCGGATGGCGAGGAACGTGTCGCTGGAGGCCGTGAGGACGGCCGATCGCCAAGGACACATCGTCAGGAAGTTCGATCGGGCACCCATTAAAGACACGGTCACAGTGCCGGATGGAGGTTACACGATCATACGCTTCCTCGCCGATAATCCAGGTAAGTATTGGAGTGGAGGAAGTCGTCGGACGATCGAAAGTGCGCCGAGACGCGTCTGAGGGATAATAAAATGAGAAGACTTATTGTGCCAGGTCCTTCTGGCTTTTATCCTAGTCATTTAATCTTTAATGCCTCGCATTATGGAGCTTTTATTACTTTTTCATACGGTTTGTCTCGATTGACTCGCCCGATCCTGCAACCAAACCATCATCAGATATATTAATCTCGAATTTTTAATGTAAAAACGTCGACATACGTGGAAGAGTTGCGAAAATCCTGCCCATCAGCGACTCCTTGACATTTTCGACTCCTTCACAAAATAATGGGATCTCGACCGGTTCGGTTTTGCCTTAATCACATAATTGATAATAATAATTTTTAAACACTTTACACGTACTTTTAAGTATTCGAACAATCGTAGAATTGGAACTTTACTTTAACGATTATATAATGCGAGTGAGTGGGGTGATTGAGCAGCACAGTAGTTCCCTTTTTACTTGTTTTTACGACATTTTCATCGTTATAATTGAACGTTGGCAAACTTTTTTTATACAACGAATGAACGATCTTTTTTTCTTTTCAATTTACACACCACTATTAACAACGATATTATAATTATATTCGTAGTACACTTTGATTCTTAGATGAAAGTTGCTTATCACTCTTTATTAAAAAAAGAAAAACATATAAGAAAAATATAAATATTAGGCAGGATTGCATTGTTTAAATGAATTTAGAGTTTAACAATTTCATACCTTAACGCGCTATATGCGATCCATTTAATTTCAAGAACGATAATAACATCTAAAAAATGTAGTATTATATTCAAAGAATGGCATCTAAATCTCCGTATATGTATGTACGTATATGTGCGCATAGTGTTCTTATGAGCTAATTAACTTATGCGTTAACCGCATTTAGAATCTAACAATGAGTCCGTAAAATTACATATTTAAAAGATTATTACAAGTTTACGATCAAAAACAATCGGGCGGATGTTCGTTCGGAAATCATCTAATTATTTTTTGTTTAAAGACACGAACGAAGACTCTTTCCATTATACAACAGACGTTTGAAATAGTTTTGATAAGCGGTTGGCTATCTTAGGTAAGTGTATAGTGCAGTTGATTTTCCATTATTTTACACACAGCCAGTCGGGTAAGCTTTTTCATTCGTTAATCATGCATTCAATTCGCGCCAATTCAAATTAATTGCAAACATCAATAGCGAGAGAGTCTCGTAAGTCGAAGATACAATGGTAAAAAGAAAAAAAAAACAAAATCTTAAAGTTGAAAGGCAAGATTCGAGAAAAATTCCAAAATGGGCGGGAGATGGACATGATGTTTTAAAGGGCAGGAAAGGGTGAGGTTTCGAGGAAAGCCACATTCCTCGGCAAAGCGTCGTCGCTTTATGAAGATGAATAAAGCACAGGTAAAATTGTTTTCAGGCTATTGGCTCTTTCATTGTCACATCGAGTTCCACTCGGAGGTGGGCATGGCGCTGATCTTCAAGGTCGGCGAGCACGAGGACTTCGAGCCGGTGCCGCCTCAATTCCCCCGCTGCGGCAATTATCAGCCCGTGGATACGACGAGGAACGTCGCTCACCCTTCAACGACAACGCAGAGTACCCAGTACCACACAAACGATAACGAGATCAATTATATGGACGAGCAGGTTCGAACGTCCATCGCCAACTGGCTACCGCTAATTCTCAGCGAACTGCGAGCCACGAGCGGGAGCTCGAGCCTCCGGTTACCCGAGGCTGCGATTACTGCTTGCTTAGGCTTCCTTTTTGCCCGCGAACTCATTCCTCTTGCTTTCTGACGGACTGACTTTTCCATCTCTGTTTTGGGACTGGTGCTGTCTCGCGTGAAATGGGCCCACGCTTATTGTAGCGCGGAGGTCTACGCGTCTCTTACCTTTGTCATTCCCGTTTTTCCCCTTACTCTTCCAACTGCGTGTAATCGCGTTGATTCTGCGCGTACGATGGATACTCGTACGTTCCTTTCTTTTTTTATAACTTTTTTTTGTTTTTTTTTCTTCTTCTTTTGTTTTTTTTGTTTTTTTTTTTTTATATTGTTTTGTTTTTTATCAGTGTCCTAGATTTAAGTTGAGGACGGATTATAGATAATCAATTGTGATAAGAATTTGATGGTCTATAGTTTTTTAAAAAAAAATTTTTTTTTTTTTTTTTTTCAAGAAAAATCTTACAGTATTTTTTAGGTGTTAAACATAATGCAGACTTTGTCTGTGAGTAATTTTTAAGCATTTTAACCAATATTATAAAACAAAGAGAGAGAAAAGGAAGAGCATTTTAGACGTAATTATAAAATAACTTTTTACATAATGATTGAGATTAGGAGGTGTGAGATACGGTACGGAATTTCTAAGATTCACTTTCGTCTCTGTATTTTTGCACAGAGAGTTTTGCATATCGATAGGTAGCTTTTTCATCAGATCTTATTAAAATTATTACGAGGTCCGTCAACTGGCTATTTTATCTACAAATTACGAGCATCGAAAGCGGTTTAAATACAAATTTCTGATGATAAGCCAAAGCTTAAATTAAAGAATAAACATAAGTATTAGACAAACCTATCAATTTCAATTTTTTAATATGTTTTTTTTTATCGTCTAGATAATTTACAAGTGTTTTAACGCCAATTTTGAATATGTTTGCAATTTTTTAAAGGCAAACTTGCTCTTGAAAAGTATCACTCTTTTTCAAGTTAAAAAAAAAAAAATCCATTTTTCTCTAGGATCTATGTAATAATTAAAGTCTAACTAGATTTGTAGAATTTAAAGCTATTTCAATCAAAATTACAATTGTATCTTCAACTAAAAGACTGCAATTATTATTATGTGACGGATATTCATTGATGATCCATGATTTTTTTAATTGTTGAATAAAAAAGATTCATAATCATGCTTTCATCTTTCCAAATATTTTTAAAATAATCAACGTTACAACAATATGAAGATTATAATTTTGTCTGATAATTATTCCCCTTTAAAAGCAGCTGTTTCTGAAGTTTTCAACTGTTTTTATTGTTATAATTTTATTGAATATATGTTTTGGTTGTACAAAATATTTCTATACTATTTCATTATATTCGGCTAATATATCACATAAGAATGAAAAAGATCTTTTTTCTTTTTAATAAATAAATTAATTACTATTAATTTATTATTGTAAAAAGTTTATTTTATGTGTTTGTACGTTTCAGCCTACAGTATTTTATCATTATAGTAAAAATTAATAAAATTGAAAAAATATATTTTTGCTCATTTTCATAAGTCGATCAAATTATTTATAATTAATTATTTATAATTATTTTTTTTATTATTTCTTTTTAATTTTTTTTTCTTTTTTATTTTATTTATTTATTTATTTTATTTTATTATTTTTTTTTTTTATTACTATATTTGCCGACTCGAGAAAATTGCAATTATTATTATTTTTTACCCTCGTATAAGTTAAAAGGAAAAGAATCTTTTATTTTTAAATAATAGTTTGTACTGTGATATGGTCTTAGGCTTGCTTATGTGTGTTGACAATTTTTGCTAAGCTCAATTTTAGTTTAAACAAAATTGCCTTAACTGTCTATTAGTCTGTTAATCATTATAGATAGAGTATCCAATAAAATACTCATACGTTTTAAATGTGCTAAGCTTTACAAAACTATGGTTTATAAGTAGATAAAAATTTGTATAGTTACCATAAGAAATAAATATGTTGTGATAATTCTTAATAAATCAAATTATTTGTTTAAATTGTTCATAATAAATGTAAATTAATGTTTATTTATTGCACTTTTCTGTTTTCTTTATAATTGTATCGCCTATATCGCTCTAACAAGTTAAGTGTTCGCGTTATTTATGTCTAATTATGTCTATTTTCGTTCTCAGATCTTTGTTAATGCCAGAGTTGTGGAACAGGAAGAAATTATTAAGAGGTGAAATGAAGAAATATTGAAAAATATTTTCTTGAATTAAATCGTATGAATGAATCAGTTATTAGAGAAAATATTCTATTAAATATTACAGTGCCTTTGATAAAATAAGATTTTTTTTTTTAACTAATTTTAAGAACAAAGGTAATAATTTGCTGGAGAACTAATGCTGTATGTAAATAAAATATTTTTTTGAGGTGTGTGAATATGTCTGTGTTTCGTAAATAAAAAAATAAATCATTGAGCCACTAGTTTAAGTTATTCAACATTTTTTCATTTATTAAAATATTCTTACGAAATAGACATTGACATTTAAAAGGGATTATTAACTTTTATATGATATCATATACTAACACTATTCTTATAATTATTGTTATATGTCAATAAATTGTGGTGTTTCTTTGTTCGTTTAAAAATATTGACAAAAAAAAACAAAAAAAAAAAAAAAAAAAAAAAAAAAAAAAAAAAAAAAAAAACACGTGTGTGTATGTACATAAAATTTATTCGTTCATATTTAATTTATATTTAATTACGTGTAAAGTAAGGATAAGGAACTAAAAGAAAATTTTCATTCACGTGAAAAGTAATATTTTAGTATTTGTATAGTATAAACAATACATTATCTATATATAGTTTTACACAAATTTTTGTTAAAATATAAATTTATGTACCTGAATTTAAAAATAATTGATATAAAATTATTTTTGATTGCGATGCAATTGTTATTATTTATAATCGACCATCACTTTGCTTCCTTAATTTCCCAAAGTTTGTTTTTATCATTACTTTAAGGATATTTATAATTCAACGATTAATATTGACACTATTATTATTATCACTGCTATCATTATTTCTTCTTAATTTACAGAAGTTGACTTAAAAGGTTTCAAATTGTACATTATATGTTAGAAATATTTACGTAATGCTAAAGAATCTAGATATAAAATGTTTTTATCAACACCTTATTATAACTATTTCGTAATACACAATAAAAAAAAAGGTGTATTATAATTAGAGTAAATTAACATTGAAAATTAGTTACATACTTGTCTATGCTTTTCATTGTATTAAAAAAATCTTTCATTTTCATTACCTTCTGTTATGATATTCATACATTAACAATCACTTATATAATAATAAAAATAAACTATAATGTACAATTAAAAAAAAGAGAGAGAATTAATTATTTACAAAATATATGCGTTTGTGTTTAATTTAATTAGCTGAAATTTGAAACGTAAAATAACTTTTATGTTAAAGACAAAAGATTAATTATCGAACATAAAGTATTTATAGAATTTCTAATTGTTTATTTAAAAATTCTTGAAGTGTTAATTCCTTATAATTATTGTTCATTGTTTTTAAACACGGAATATGTATTATTTCGTAATAAATTCTAAATTTGAATAATATATTGAAATTTTAATACCATTCGTCATTATTTAAAATAATCTATGATTTTGTTTTTATAAATCTAAATATAATATATTTATAAACCTATGTATAAATTTTATTCTACGTATAATTATATTAACTACAGTTTCATTAATCCTTGGTGATGCTGGCTTAGTATATAAAAAAATTCACCGATACAATAAAAAATGTACAAAGTTTTATATTAAAAGTTTAAAAAAAAAAGAAAAAAAAAAAGTAGAAATTATTTTTGATATTCTTACTACATGTTCAATTGCAGTGATTTATTGAATTGTTTATATAGCATTATAATTTAAAACATATATCTTAAAAATATATGCTTTAGAAAACGGAAAATTATGATTCAACGAACTTACGTTAATTTAGACGGATATTTTTTTTATATAGCAATTTTTGTCATTAATGAAATTTATATCCTCAGATTTAAATCTATTTAAGGAAGTTGAAAAATTATTCAATGTTAAGTAATTCCTAATCAATGCTAATACTATCGGAAAATTGCAAAAAATTCATACCTTTATTCCATATACAGGATTACGTATTGTTCACGAAGAGAAATCTGAAATTTGTAAACAAAAATTTTTTTAATGTTTTTCTATGTTTTAAGTAATAATAGGACTATAATTATTGCATATAATTAATAATTACGAGACTAGTTTTATGAGTTTTATTTATTAAATTATATAAAGATAGATATTTGAGAAACATAAAGAAACATTATTGGAAAAAATATTTAAAAGGATGAAAATATTTTCTTTTACGATTATTCTTTAAATATAATTATAATTTAAAATTTGTAATAATGTAAATTTGTATAATGTTTGCGGTAATGTTAATAGTAAGCAAGCAACGTTTCTCTCACCTAAAAGCTTCAATGTATAATTCATAATTATAAATAAAAAAAGTATTTAACTTGAAACGATATTATTAATTTTTCAGCAGAATCTCCATTGTTATTTATTTATAGTTCCTACATTCTGGCTTGAGATATGTTTTCAGCTAAATCCCGTACGTAGGGCATTAGCTCCATCTATGATTTTTGTTGCATAGCTGTGAACCGAGCTACAGTCGTTGCTTACTTAAAAAATTCTGCTTTACAAAGATATCGATATTAATTTTTTGTTTTTTGTTTTTTTTTTGTTTTTTTTTTTGTTTTTTTGTTTTGTTTGTTAAATACATATCAACTCTTGAATTTATTCTTGTTTAGTGTAATCGAATTTTCATTAATGAAAGTATAATGAATAATTACATTTACCGCTAGACTAGACTTTTAATATAACCGACTTAATTATTATGATACGCATGGATTATCATACAATGGTACAAGTTCATTTATTCGATATTAATATCAATTGAATATTGCAATAGATGTATATGACAATTAAAATCGTTATGGCACAATAAAGTCCTTTTAAATAATTATTTCACATTCAGCTGTACAGATAAATAAACGTGTTGTTATACGTTTTATTAATAAAAAGAAGGCGAACAATAAGGGTTTTATTAAGATATTCGATAAAAGAAAATTATATAGACAGTCAATAGCGTGTCATGGCAAAAATTTTGCAAATTAAGATACATGAAATTTGTGATTATAAATCGAATTACTCTGTATGCATCATTGTAATATTACAGATTGTTTCATTGAGAGAGAAAAAAGAAATTGAAAAATTTGAATGTTCTTCAACTGTTCTGGCATATTCATCCTATGAGCTGTCATATTATATTTTTTCGCAAAAGTAATCGGTAATTGTACAACGGTCTAACATACGTCGTTACAATAATTAATTACGAAGCTCCACTATCTTTCTATAGTATTCTTATTTTATTATCCTTTTTTCAAATAATAAATTAATTTAGTCCCTTATTGCTTTTTTTTTTTTTTTTTTTTTTCTTAACAGCTGCCATACAAGCTAAACTTTTAAAGTCAAATAGTTGAAATTAACACGAAAATTCTTATGAACGTAAATACGATGGGCCTGCGATCATACTTTATCTTATGATTTGAATAAAGTTATTCCAAGAATAGCCGTTAAAAATTAATAAACAATCTAAAAGAATAAGCGTTTGATTTAAATAATTTTTTTTTTTTATAATTATCCTAAGTACACGCATAAGCTTAGCCAAACGTAATGTCTTTTTTATTAATAGTGCGAAAATTTTAATTTGTACTTATTATTACCCGCAGTTTGCAGTTTCATAACCACATCCTCGGTACTCATCTCCCATCGTTTCTCTTCATCCTATTTTTATCGACGTTTCTTAAAGGTACGCAATTTCCTAAGGTCTGCCTTGTTATTAAACAAAACAAAAAACAACAACAACAAACAACCAACACAATGTTACATTGTGTTAATTAGCTTAGCGCCAATGAATAATCGTTACACTTCCCTTTGGTTTCATCATCCCTCGATTCGAATAATCAAACACAAGTCATCGATTGTGTAACGACAGTTTGTTGTAAACGATATGGAATGGAGTGTTGGGCGACCGAGACGGCCCATAACTACATCGTCCTCCTTTGGTATTCGCTATTGGCGTCGGCATGCCATGTCCATCGTGCAATATTGTGCAATATTGTTGTTGTCGTTGATGTTGCTCGACTTGTTGGCGATTGTCGTCGCGTGAGTAAATTGTCGAAGCGCGAAATGCAAATTGACCGAGCCGAATCGAACGAGGGTACGCGGTATGATTTCATCGGGGCGAATCGAGTTCGCTCGAATGATGAAAACGAATTGGAGTATTGGGTTATAGGATCCGCGACTCGCGTTCGTAACGTTCGGTTATTAGTTGGTAATCGGCCAGCTGTGAGAAGATTTGCATTTTGCGCTGCGAGCGAATCAATCGGTTGAGAGGCGCAGAGCGCATGCGCGGGACGAAAGGGCGACCCGTCCGTCGTCCTAGACTCGTGTGTACTCAACACACGAGAAAGGATAATAATTGCGCTCCTGCGTTTTTCAATCGAAATTTTTCACCTCGAACGTCTCGCTAGCTGACAAGGCGCTGACCGCACTGACGGGGACAGTCGTTGACTTTCTCCATGGGGCTCGCTCCTGTCTCTCAGTGCTTTACATGAAGAGATTACATGAAACATTTGACGCGATTATATTGCTACAAAAAGTCATATTGAAATAGAGATTGGGGTAGGGTGATATTGGGAAGCGGACGTTGAGTACCGTGAGGTAAGAAGGCAAGAATGTAAACAAAGATAAAAGGTCGGCATGCGTTAAAAATGTTTTTCAAATGTTTTCTAAGAACAACAGGGGAAATGGTCTGCAAAGGTCGTGAGTCTGTTAATGAGTGACATCGCGGGATACCACGAAGAGATCGTTTAGACTAGTTTTGTAGCTTAAGCTGAAGATTCGTCGAATTAAGCAAAACAAAGAAATATATCCGCACCAAGGTAAGAAAGTGACATTTAAGAAAATTACACGCAAGATGAAATGTGAGGTTAAGTTTAGTTGTAGTTGTTACGATTTCTTTTACGTTATAGTATTTTATAATGTAATTGTAATAATGATGATTATGACGATGATGATAATAATAATGATGATAATGATAATGATAATAATAATAATAATAATCGTAGCACATATAAAACGAGTATTTTGTGATGACGATTGCATTTGTAGGCATACATTGTCATTGGAAGCGCTGTTTTATTTATTTTTACAATATGGTAGTCGAAAATATAAAATACGTATGATTTTTCAAAAGTATCGCATACACTAACTCGTATACTTGCGCAGCATATATATATATTTGCCTATGCATGCGTACTTCTTCGCATAAGTGTGTGCTATGTGAATACGGTGGTTGTGCGTGCGCGCGCGTGTGTCGGTATATTTCTATATATATATATATATATATATATTTGATGAAGTGGGCCTACATGTATGCCGTATGCACATGTAACATAAATATGGATCGATGTTATGATTTTTTCTATTTGCAAACCAGTTCGCGTATGTTTTTACCGTTAGACGGTTAAATTTAGGACAATCAAATCATCTACCACTTTCATATTGCTTTAGCATAGTGCAGTATTTGGCAACTGGCTACAATTTGCATTTATAAATCAACAATTATAAATTAAAATTCATATTTAATTACGAGTTCATTTTCAATGTACACCATCATTTATGTCAATTGAATGCTTAAATTAGATATTAATATTTTTAATATTTATAAACACGTACTATTGCACTTTTAATATTTCAATGTTCAAACAATATTAATGACTTTAACAACCTATTTATTTTCTGTGAATTATGTCAAAATTTGATGTGCATCATGATAATGTAATTCTTATCTATATCAAAATAAGTAAATTTTAAAAATTAAGAATTATTAATTACTAAATATACAAAAGCTGCATGTTTGTTTTTTATTAAATTAAATAAAAAAGAAATTGTTTTTTTATTATGTACGAGTAATTCCAGTAAAACATTATAATTCAAATAATTGTTGATAAAGTAATTATATAATAATCTTTTATTCAAGGGAAAACTGTATAAATTTATTGTAAGCTAAATTTCAAGAGAGATATGTTACATAATGTATATAAATAAGTATGGCAACAATACAGAGAGTCTAATAATTTTTGAAAATATTTTGTAAATTATTTTCAGATGGCTTCCAGTGCACTAGAAGAAAAAATTATTAAGATTAAATTACAAAATGAAGAGATAAGGCGGAGACATGAGGTAAGGCGTTTCTTAGATTTAAGTGAAAGGACAAGTAGAAAAAAATATTTATAGGATAGTTATTGATTTATCCTTGGTATTATATAGGAGGTCGAAGCTGATAAGAAAAATGCAGCAAAACTAAATGCTTTAGTAAAAATGGTACCATCGGATGATTGGCCAGAGAGGAAGGAGCCACCAGAGTTTTCTGCTCCACCTAAAATAACACAGAAACAAAAAGCTTTAAATAAGGAACATAATGATAGACCTCCGCAACATTATTCAGGAATTCAAGATAGACTTGGCAAAAAAGATCACAAATTTGCTCAGGTATAAATTTGCAGCCAAAGAAAATTTGTAATGAGTATATTTATACCTAAATAACGTATAAAATTTTCTCTAATCAGGGAGATGGACCGCCACCTGATCCAAAATATAATTTCTTAGCGGATTCAGAAAGGGAAATACGTATTACGGATAATAGTAGGGTAGATGAAAGTAAGAACAGATCTAGAAACAAGGCCTCTCGTGGATCCAAAAAACGAGGAGGTGATAGCGGAGGAGGATCTAGAGATGCATATTTCAAAGTAAGCATTGCACTCGCAGAGCATCCTGTAGCTTTCAAAGTTTTCTTTTTTTTTATAAACCGCTATTTGTAATGTTAATTTCATATTTGAATAGGATAATCGTGGCCCACATGCGTTTTACAGTAGAGAAGAAGCTCTACCGGAATACGAAGCATGGAGAGCTGAACGAAATAGAATCGATGAGGCACGTATTAGTCGACAGAAAACCGCCGAAGGCAATTGGCGCAGAGAATGGGATAGCAATAAAGTATAATTATAAAAATATGTATCTTTTGATTATTTTGATATTGTACAAATAATATATCTGACTAAAATCTTTACAGACAAATGTTGAAAAAGATCCTTTAAGAAAAGGAGATTCTAATAGAAAAGAATCAAATAATTATGACAGGAGAAATAATCATTATGACAGTAAGTTTAAATTAAGATAACCCACTTATCGTATAACCGGTATTATTAATATTTTTACCATGCGACATTAGCTCATCATGTTTAAAATATTTAACAATATTGTTTCACGTTTATTGATAAAAGAATTTTTTATTGTGTTTTATATAATCAATTTTGACATTAATACAAATCATTATCAACAATTGTTAGCTTTGAAAATTTGAAATAAATAAATTAATTTTAGAATGAAAATTATATATTTTAAGTTTAGTTCCATTAAGAAATATTCTCCTATAAGTTGCAAGTATACAAAGTAGATTTTTAATAAACATTAAATAAAAAAAGAAAAAGAAAAAAAGTTCGTTTTTTTTTTAAAACTTTTATCGATTATAAAATTATTTTCCCTCAACCTTTTTGTAAATCCTAATAAGAATGAATTTTTCATTATAAAATTTTTTTACGAAAAAGGTGATTATTCTAATCGTGGTCATGGCGGAAGTAGAACGTATCACGGTTCTCAAAAAAATCACAATCAAGATTATCGACGTTCACATCATGAACAAATTCACGAATATAAGAGACAATTAGATAATAAGCCGCCTTTGTCACCAAATGATGATAGAACAGTCACTGCTACTGATAAAAGTATTAAAGTAACATTGAATCATGGAAATCAAACCAAAGGTCCAGTAATGAGTGTAAAAGGTTGTAAATTTAAGAATTAAAATACTAAATTTATTAAATTTTATTTAATAGACAAAAATTAGAGGTTGTATTATTTTTATGGTAGCAATAAATTATTGAAATTTGAGAGTAATATTTTTCTATTACTTACTCTGTACATTTTGCTTTATATTTATTAAAATATGAAATCAGTATTTCCAAAATGTTTAAATTTTATTGTCGAATCGGTATTAAATTAGTAAATTATCAATTAAATAATGAGTAAAGATACACCGTTCATCGAATAACAAATTTTTTGTAAATACAATAATATTTTACGTAATCAAATCGAATGTAATAAATTAATATAATAAATCAATTTTTATTATATAAATATTTCGTATGAATACCGTATTTATAATACGTAAATACGCCACGTTTACGTCACTAAGCATATTCAGCCCGATTAATTGATAATGAGAATTAAATTTAACAAAATTAATATTGTTTTAGTGAATTCACCAAGTATTGCTGGTACTGGAAGAGTTGGTCCGCGACAGAAGAGTCGAGTTACTTACAGCAGTCAGTCGGATGCTGATGTGACTGTTCATGAATTAAATAATTTTTCTAGACAGAAGTCTTTTGACGAAAAGACGGCTGGAGCGTACTTCAATAGCGGACAAAAGTCAACGCCAAAAAGCCCTTTCTCTCAAAGAAAGAAAGATAGTAACTCTAAATCCGCTTACAATCAGAGGAAAGAATTTAAAAATGACGAATCATCAACTCGAACTAAAATTGCAATAAAAACAACTTACTCTCAGAGGAATGAATCTAAAGATCAAAGACAATTAAACAATTTATCATCCAAAGTACAACGAATTCAAAAGCGAAGTCAAAAACAATGTGTAATAAATAAAGAAGAGAGTCTATCTATTTCCGACGAAGCAATACCTTGTGAATATAATCCTGATAAGTCTTTTAGTGCTCGTGAAGATGTAAACAAAGAAAAACTTGATACTGAATATGAAAATTTTGAAAAAATTTCAGGTGAAACTAATGAAATAGATGAAAAATTTTCAGAAAATTTTAAAACTTATAGCAATTCCGATTCTAACGATAAATTAATCAATCAAAATGACCACGATAATTACACTGAAAATACTAATCATCAAAATAGCGATAATATTACAGTCGATGAAATAAATAAAAATAATGAACATATCGAAATAAATGAAAATATAAAAAATATAAAAAATGAAGAAATCAATATAAACATGGACTTGATAGAAATAAATGAAAATATCACAGACTTAAAAAATAATGACTATACAGAGGAAAAATTGGATAATATGGATAAAGGCTATGAAACTTTTGAGAATGACAAATTTGAAAATAACATTGAGAGCTCAAATATTTTACAAGATGTAAAAGAACAGAAAAATAATGATTATTCACTTGCCGATTCGGATATAATTGTTGGCTTAACAGAGCAAAAGAACAATTTACCTATGCTCACCCAAGAATACGTGACTCAAGAAGATATTTCGCATGAAAAACAAATTCCATCCATTGAAACTATTAAAGAAAAGGAATTGATAAAAAATTGTGAAAATAATGAAACAGGAGCCTTGGAATTAGAACAGAAGAATGTTGAGTTGAAAAAATTAAATGACAACTTTCAATCAATTAATATTGATTTGGAAGCTGCTTATGTAACTAACTGCCCAACGGAGCAATTAATAGATAATATTACAAATGATTTTGATGAGTCACGAGGGAAAAAAATATCCCAACTATTTAGCTTACAAAATAAACTTGATAATGATAGTAGTTTTATAGATAATAATATAACAAACGAGTCAATTGAATGTGATAAAATTAAAGCCATTGAGATGGTTAGTTTCCAAAAAAACTCTACTAACGATAGTGGTTTTATAGATGATTTTGATAAACTTCAAAATAATTTTGATGCTTCCATCATCGAATCTAATGATGAAAATACTGTTGCTGCAAACAATCCTGAGAAATTCGTGATATCTGATACAATGGAATTAACCAAAGAAGTATGTAATAAATATGTAGATATCTGTGATATACATAGTGTCGCATCCAATGAACTCACTCAAGTAATCAAAGATCATCTAGGAAGTATTGAAAGTAACATTGACGAGCAGGTCATAAAAATGATATCGGAAAGCCATACCAAAGACAATAAGATTTGTATTGTTGACGACATTGACAAAAGCTTAGGACCGACAAATTTCATAAACCTTAAACTAGAACGTCAAAATGAATTAGCAGAAGAACGTTTTAATAAACCAGAGCCAGAGCGAGTTGTTACTGAGGCTGCCGCAATACTTGATATTGTAAAATCCACGAGCGTTGCTTCTGACGAATCGACAAACAAATTATCTGATAAGTCGGAGGTAGCCTAGTTGTATTCAAATTGCTTCAAAAGCAAAGATACATTCTTATGTTATTCTACTTTAAAGACTTAAATATTTGAAGGTTTGAAATACTAATGGCACTTTCAATACATGAAAAATCTATTTTTAAGTATAGAAATAAGCTAATAAAGACTAAAATATTGAAATTTATGCAGCAATTTAATAGAAAAGAAAAAAAAAAGTAACTATTATAAATGATGATATTAATAGGAGCTGTATTTTTAACAACGTAGCTAATAGTATTTAATAATAAGTAGATAAAAATAGATTTTTCGTGAGTTAAGAAAGCAATCTAATAAGGGTTTAGATTCTGAAAGAATCTAATTTGTAAGGATACAGTAATTATTTATTATTACTAATAAAATTTATAAGCGCCTAAGATATTGAAGATTCATCAGTATTTTCAAATTCTTATGCATGGACGCTTTGTAGTTTTTAAAAGCCATGTTTTTAAGAAAAATCGCGCAAAATTAATTGAAATACATATTATACACTACCTAATAAGTGTTCGCTAAACAGTGATAATCTAGCCAGATAGAAGATTGTGATAAAGACAAAACGAAATGATGATTGAATTTCAGAAATTTGCATTAACTAAAATGAAGTGAATGAAAAAGGATTCTTTTCCTATTATAAGATAAACTGATAAGGCTGGCTTATCTATGTTTGGTGCGAAACAGCCATATGTCTATTTTCTTAATCAATTAAGATTTAATCTGCATCAGACATTTTTACATGGATATTAGCGTGTTGTGAGTTACATATAATATGAAATAATCATTTTTCTTATTTATTTCTTTGCTTTGAGCAAATTTTTGACTGAGAAAATTTATAATTTTCAAGCTGCATATGAGTTAAAATTTTATTCCTTATTATGATATTATTGTTCTATTATGTAAGTTATTCGATACGTTAGATAAAAGCAGTTATATATTTATTTCAAAATTTAATTATAGTATACATATATATATGTGTATATATATATATATATATATATATATATATATATATATTATGAAATTGCAACGGTTTTAAGTACGTTAAATAATTTATATAAAATTATATAAGCTTTACCTTTACTTTACGTGATATACCTACAATTATTATAAAAATTTCATTATACTAGCTCACTTAAATTTTAGTATTATACGTATTTATTTGTAAAATACAAGAGATGGTCCTTAAATTATTTTAACAACAACAACAACAATCGAGTATTTCCCCGGTTAATATACCTTACTCAACTTCGCTCAATACCTATTAGACGATTAAATAACAAATACATTTCGTAACCCACATAACGAAATAAATCTTTATTAACTACTCACTCACTGTATGTTGTTCAATCCCATCAGTGAATATGCAGTGTAGTCTTTGATATACATTAGTCGATAGTGCACAAACTCATATTTCCTGATTCGGGTAATTGTTAGTCTCATTGAATGATAAAAAGATATAAGCAATTGTAGAATATAGATTACCGAGTTTCTAAAAAAGTGTTGTTAAGTGCTATAAACTTAGTGCCATTCGTTGAATTTATACGTGCACATAAGCGATCTTGGGGTAAAAAGTGAGAGAGAAAAAAAACTATTTAATTTAAATAGCGACATAATCCCCCAACCCCATGAAAAAATAAGTAATTATTCAGTGATTGATTAATTCTTTAATAAACTCGATCGTGCTTTCTTCTTTTTTACCTTTTTTTTTTCAATGCCCAAATGTTACGAGTTTGCAATAATTCCATCGTATTAGCCGAGTATTCATTGCAAAAAAACAAAAAAAAAACAAAAAAAAAAGTAAATAAATAAAAAAAATAAATAAAAAATAAATAGAAAACATACTATTTTCATTTCTCTGGAATAAAGCAATCATATATACACATATGCAAACACGCAACATACAAACACACGCGCGCGCATATACCCACACACACATATATATATATATATATGCATATAAACTTATATCCTAAATAGAGCAGTTGAAAATATGTTTATAATGCTCGGTCTCTTGGTAAAGTTCTTTTCGCTATTTGTTTTTGTTTTACAAGCCGCAATATACAGGCATCAAGAGCGCTATTATATTTTGGGTGGACGGCAGAATAATATTTTTATATATTCGTTAAACTATGCGCTTAGAATTAATGCACACAGCGATATAAAATAAAGATGAAAAAAATATTTACGAGCGAATCATCGATACATATATATATATATATATATGTATACATTTTTTTTTTCTTCTTTTGTCATATTGAGATATATAATGTTAAGAATTTTTTCGTCAAGGACATACGTACAGTCTAGAAGATCGTTTATTTTCTTTGTTATTTGAACGACAAATTAATTTTATTATTTCGTTTCTTAATAACATTATATTGTTACAGGTTACAATATTAATTAATGTTCGTATTTTCTAAAATTTATAATTTTTATTTATTTCGTATTATCATAAACTTTCTCCCAATTAAGTGCATGCGTTTTATATTTTATTATTTATCTAATGATTTATCTGTTATATATATATATATATATGTGTGTGTGTGTGTGTGTGTGTGTGTGTGTGTGTGTGTTTTACAAATACCAATTATATTATTTTTAAGTCTTGTTGAATATATAATTTCTTTTCCCTTCAAATTAACTGTATAATTTTATTATTATACTTTTAATTTTTCTTTAATTTATGATTCTAAATAATAAATAATAATAACTATTATGTATCAATACATATACTTACCACACTCAGTTTTTTTTCTTTTTTTTCATCGCTGGGCTATACAAAAATTGTTATTTAATTTATTTTAGGTTTTTCAATTATTTCAAATATTTTATTTTCGAATAAAGCATATATCACTTTTTATTTAGCAGTAATGAAAACTATATGTTTTTTCATTACTTAAAAGCAAATAAAATTATGTTAATGGAATAACAAAGGTAGATTGTAATACCATCGAGTATATTTCCTATAGTACGTGTTTTAAACAAATCACGATTTGATTTACTATAAAAAGTTCGTTAATTACTTCTCTATGCGATAATATAACAAGCGGCGTAAATAAAATTATAAAAGATACCTTTTCGTAGGAAGGAGTTTTTTCATTATGTTAATATAACTAACGCCTGACGTCATCGATTTATGCGTTAACCAATTAATTAATCGTAAATTTAAATAATTGAAAATTCATATGGATTTTTCATCATCGTTGAAAATATTCAACTAAAAAAATGCTGTTATTCTTAGTTCTAATTTACTCGATAACAATAAAAAAAAAAAAAAAATAAAAAAAAAAATAAAAAAAAAAATAATAATAATATTAATATTGAATAATAATAAAACAAGAAATAAGCATAGATTTATTACTATTATTCTTTTACTTACTGGCAATTGTAACGATTATTGTAACGATATATGTTTTCACTGAATTAACTCATTAATAAGAATAAATTTACGCAAGGTTCGAATAATCTTTATTATACTTTGAACAGTTAAACTTATTTATTGAGAGAGAGAGAGAGAGAGAGAGAGAGAGAGAGAAATGAACACCTTAAAAAATTGTTATTGTTTAGCCCACGACATTGCTGTACAAGTACATTTTTTACTTGGATCATCGAATACAAATGGTGTCGTATAGTTAAAAGTGTCCATTGTACGTGTTATAAGCCGCCAAAGTTCGTCATTTTTAAGATTGTTCTAATAAGAGAAAATAAAATACAACAGGAAAATGAATTGTTAATAAAATTGTAATGGCTGTAAATACGTTGTTTTTTATCTCTACCTTAACCGTCTGTCTGTAACATTGAGTGAACTCGTCGTATCTATGCAACGATATACTTAATAAGCATAAGTAAGCCCAGACTTCGGGATCCTCGTCGTCGATTCTATTGGCCTCGATTAGAGCGGCTTCGCATTCTTCGTAATACTCGAGCTACGAAGTTCAGGAAACATTTTTTTTATTAATTCTCGCTTTGTATAATCGGACAGTTTTATCAAGAGCTCGTAATTATTAAATAGTAGACAAAGATTAATTAAGACGAATAATTCTTGATTATAATTTTAAATTCAATAGACACGATAACTCTTATCATCGAAATGATTGTGATGAACGTATTTAATTTTAGATATACGTTAAATATACGATCATCCAATTTCCAATTGCTTTAATACTATCTAAATAAAAACTTATTAAACGCCCGTCGATAAAAATGATAGATACGTAATAGGAAAATTATTAATACTTAATTCTGTTCGAAATTGAGCATTTTTTAAGAAAATTCAACATACTTGCATTTTTTTATGTTAACCCGGTATTTTCGTCATGTATTATTACTATTCAGCACTCGTTAATTATTGAACTCGTAATTTTTATTGAAAAACCATTTACCTTGGTCTCAGCGACACATTGTTGTTTTTTTTTGGTTTTTTTTTTTGTTTTTCTTTTTATTGATTCGATTTTATTCGCTCGTTCAGAATTTAAGCGACTAGTTGAAAGTATAAGCAAATAATACGTTGGCCACAATTTGTAATTGAAATTTATCAATCGAAAGTTAATTGGAGGATAATTTATTAAGCTACTGAAAATCTCATTTAATTTTCAAGCTCTTAATTTTGAAAACATTATGCGCGTATGGATTGTGCACGGCCAATCGAATTTATAACGCGATCCCATCCCCTGTTCTATTATAATAGAACTTTGGAATTATAACGAGACAAATACCCAAGATTTAATTGGCCCTACGCTAACGATTATTTTTGGCAGTAAAAGAAAAATCAAAATTACAATGCATAAATTCATAAAGATATGGTAATTGTAAGTGTATGACAAGGATTTCGTAAGTGCTGTTGACGTAAGTGAAGTAAAGATTGACGGTTTGCGCATCCAAGTCCGACGTGGAGATTCGTAGAATGAGGCTGACGCGCAGAGAGATGACGAGGAATTAGGATGGAACCGTTGCAAGAGGCACGTCAAACATTCTCGTGATTTACAAGACAATGGCATGCAATGTGCGGGACAAGTACCGTGAAAGGATGACAGCGACACTAAAGTGGGAGAATCGCCATTGAAGAGGAATGATGAGATTTTCCAACCAAGTCATTGATCGATTGTTGGGTTCTCTCGAGAGGGACTTTCTCCTTCTTAGAATTGGCGAGATTGCGATATATAATATTGCGCAACATCGTATTTATAATCTTGCCAGGACATTAAGATAATGGTAGTCCCGGATTGACCAGAGAGTGTCGACGCGGTTAATCGGCTCGACGCCTCCTACTCGACGGTTAAGTTGACCACGCGACGAGTCTTTGTTTTAACATTCATAAAATAATCCGAAGTAAGATTAGTGGATGACACAAGGACTTTTCATTTCAATGTTTATTGCTTAACAATATGAGCAATTATACGCGAGCCAATTATTTACACTAAACATTATGTTTATAGATATAACGATTCTCTTAAATAAACGTTTTTTTTTTTTTTTTTTTTTTTTTTTTTTTTTTCATCGGAGCATTGTCAATATACACAATACATAAATTCGTTCAACTTTTCCCCGGTCTAGGTTTGATTAGAGTTACTTATGATAATTACTAATCGCAAATACATTTTCTTATAATTAAATTTATATATATATATATATATATATATAAACTCGTTAAGCCTAATATTCACTAATAGCTTATGTCTTAGTACTATTTTTTTTGTTTTTTTTTGTTTTTTTTTTTTTTTTTGTTTTTCTTTGTTTTTTTAAATCTTTATAATTAAACAGCGTCCCGTAATATATAGATGGCAATTTTAATGCTTACATGATAATTTGATATGCCGAATCCCAGCCAAATTTTGCAAGTTGAGGCCTGTTTGCAGGCGCGTGAAAAGATATTTCTTGCACGCTCGTATTGTCGATTGCTTATGAAGTAAAAACCCATTCTTAGATGCACCAAATGAATATTTTCCGGTCTTTCGTACAGCTTATCGACGATTTCATAGTATTTTATCGTTTCGTTCATGTCTCCAAATTCGTAAAATACATGTCCCAATAAAGCAGCTATGCTGTAATCCTAATATTTTATTCGATACTACGATTGCAAAAATGTCATAAAAAATAATCGAATAAAGATAACATAAAAAGTCAAAATAATGATAAAATAATATTAAAATTCATAAAGCAGTATGCGGAAACATTGGATTGTTAAAAGTGTAATTTTAGCGTATAGAAAAAGAAAAGAGAAATTATTGATATAAATACGAATTCTTAGTGTGATTTAATGTACTACTATATTGTTCTTGTACTCATACGAAATTATCGAATGAAAAAGTAAATATATTTATTTAAACAAATTTTAAACAGAAATATATTTTTAAATAGAATTAAGATAAACGTACGGTGCCAATAATTGTTTCCGCTTGATTTAAATAGTCCAGCGCAATTTCATAGTTGCGATTTAAGTAAGCATTAACGCTAAAAAAATATAAAAATTCAACTGATTTCTGTCTAAGAGATAATTCTTGAGTCAAAGCCAAGCCTGCAAACTGAAAATTCACATACAAATATATTGAGGATAAATAGCGTGTTACATTGTATAGTAATAACAAATTACATTATAAAGGTTTAATTTGAGTAACAGCACTGCTGTCAAAATAAAAATTCTATTTTCACTGCAAAGATTAGTTGACCATGCGATTGGTTCTTTTTCTAAAATCTCCATAGTATCTTTGTCGGGAATTCTATCCTTTAAGCATTTTTCGGCAAGTTGTAAAGTTATATCGATACCTGTTTAAATAATTTCTTTTTATGTTTCTTGCTAATATGATAATAATAAATTTTAATTAATAATTATAATTATTACCTGGATAATATTCAGTTTTTACGTATAATAAATGCAAAATTACCCAACCTTCACTGAATCTTGGATAAAAAAGGGTTACGGCTTTAATGAAAATTTCAGCTTCCGAATAATTTTCATTCATGGCAAGAAGTATGCCGTACATAAGTAATCTACGATACACATTTTTATGATAAACTAATTTAAGTGAAATTTATTTTCAAATTTTTGATTTTACATATACAAATGTAAGCAATAAATTGCAAAATTATCATGAAAATGTAAATAATTTGTCGAGAATAAGAATTTATATTCCACAATAGAAAAGATATGCAAGGAATTCAGTTATTTTTAATTATTTTAAACAATTTTTTTTCTTCTTCTTTTTTTCTTTTTTAAGTTAATAAGCGTCGTAAGCCCTCGATCAATACCAATAATGTCTTATATACTTATTAAATAATTGATAAAGTATTTTTCCCTTCCTTATATATAAATATGTTCTACAGAAATAACTCATAATTTTGCTTTCATTGCTTTAAAGTATTATGACGTTATTTATAATTGATTGACAATATATTTTACGCTATTTTATGACGGCTATTTAATCGAATTGCCTCTCTGCAACATTCGATTGCTTCGTCATTATTCGATATTTTAAGCAAATAGATCCCATATTTCACCCATGAGCTTGCGTTACTTCGATCATTTGAAATAATCTAAGACAGATACAATAATTAATAGAAATAAAAACACAATGTGTTTTATTGATAATATTAACAACCTTTATCAATAGTTTGTTAGCTTTGTCGTAATGTTTATATTCGTATGCTTCTTCGGCACGGATCCAAAGTTCATCAGGATTTTCCGGATCAATGTACTCATCGCCAAAACGAACATCAAGTTTCGTATTCAGTGCAATGTGCATTTGTTCCACCAAATACGAGTAACACGAAACTATAAAATCCTACATCGACACGAAATAAATTTTACATATCAAAGTTTGAAGTGATCTTTTCAGCCTAAACTAAAAATTATTATTATTATTAATATTCTATTTATACAATGATCGAATTTACATATTATGCAATTACGATTGAGGTTGAGTAGTAAAAGAATCGTAAATTACCATTTACGAATTGTGACTTTGAACAAATTGACAATCCGTCATGAAAAATAGCTATTATATGTAAAGATCATGCATAAGTGGTTTTTTAGAAATTTAAATTATATACAGATTTTAGTATAATCGAATGGCGTTGAGCGTAATATGTTTTTTTTAACACAAGATACATAATATTAAAAAATATTTAGATTAATAAATTTATCAAAGCCGCGTTGCGCACTTGGTTTTTTGTTGAAAAGCAATCAGCTGAATTGAGTGGGAACTTTTGGTCTAATAAATTAATAATTTTATTCTTTAAAGTGCTTTGCATAGATAAATATTTTCCAGTCTCGTGTAGATATTGTTTAAAGCGAGTCAAATCGTCCTAAAACATAGCACATAAAAGTTTGAATTATCTATGTAATGAGTGAATGATAAATGTAAAATATTAACAAACTTCAATTTGAAAATAAGGATATGACGAATCACACGATGAATTTAATTTTGGAAATATATTAGGTTGACAATTTGTTTTCCCACAGTTAGAAGATGTGCTCGACGAAGTATTTTTAGAATGAAAATCATTATGATTAGTATAATCCTGAAATTATGTTTTATAAACGAATTCTTTATGAGTAAAAGTAATCATTACGTATATCAAAACGAGATATAATTATATATATATATATATATATATATATATAATACGATTAATTTATAATTTATAATATAAACAAAAGCAAAACGAGAATATCTTTAGTATATATAGGATTTAAAAAATAAATTTTTGTTATATTACGTTGATGCAAAAACTTTAATGGAAAAGAGGAAAATTTGTCTTACAATAATATCATTTATTTGATAACTAATGCCAATTATATTATCTATTAGTCTACTGAAATCATCTATATTGTACTTGAAAAAGGTTAAAATCGGCATTAACAAACGATTGTTTTGTAATATAAATTTTTTTAAATAAAATTTCTTCCTCAAAATATAATATAAACGGTTCTTAAATACGTAAATGTATATTAGAAAATTCTTACTCGATAACTTTCTTCAAGAACGTCAACAAGTTGCTTGATACATTTGATATATTGATCGTGTACCAAATCGGGGGTATACAAATAAATTGGCTTATTTGGTTTTGGCTTATTTTTCAAAATCTCCGTGCTATAATATAATTGGTTTGTAATATCAGCTACCAAAGATATTGTAATCTATTATTGTTGTTGTTCTTATTATTGTTATAATTATACAAACGCTTTCGTGAAATCTTCTAAAATCCGAGCAGGAAAAAGAGTTTTGTATAGCTCGAATTCTACTAGAATATAAACAGGTTTTCCGTTTTCACCATAAACTGAACAATCCGATGTACTTGGTATTTCATCTGATTGCAACTAAACGAGGTGTAGGAAAGATTTCGTTATTACGTTATTTGTGTAAAAAGTAAACAAAATTGAACATGTTGCTATAAGCATTTAATGACTTTTACCTCACAATCTTCTAACGATTTATTGCTAAAAATGCTTATTTCTAGTCCGGTTTTTTCTTTCATCTCAGCCAAACTTTGCATATGTATTTGCGATAAGACGCGTACCTTTTTTTCTATAATAATATTGTCATTATATTATATTAATTGCATTAAATTGTTGTAATGGTAGATTATAAGATTGTATTTACGTCCGGGAAAGATAAGTTGACTAATGTCAGCGTAAAATTGATAAATAACTTCCTCGGTACTCTCTCTTTTCGTTTCAGACGGATCAACGTTCTCTTTAACTATAACTTCAAATGGCCAATACTTGTACCTTAAATAAAGTCGTGCGTTTAAATTTAATACCGACGTTAAATAGAATATTTATTTATCATGTGCGAATGAAATTATTACTTTTTCAGTCGATCCTTTAAACGATCGATATTCTTTTTATCTAAGAAACTTCTGTTCATAACATTCCACTTGATTCTTTTATTTTTTGGTTCAATGATTGTCTAAAAATTTATTATTATGAAATACATCGTTTGAATTTTCTTACTCATGCAATATTTTCAATTTCGTTATAAATAATAATAACAATGTTCCATTATATTAACGATCATTTATAATAAATAAATGCATTGATCATTATAAATGACGAGGTAAATCATTAGGTAGTTTTTTATCCGACTATGTTATATTAAAGAAAATGTATACCATTGTATATATACATTGTATATATACCGTGTATATTATGTATCATTGAAAGTTTCACATTAAAAGTTACTTTTAAGTTGAGTGACTTGAAGTCATTTTTTATATTATTGAAATCGGAATCGATTTTGTATTTGGATAAGCGCGCGCGACTTTGTACGTCCTGTAAAGATCTCCAGCTTTTCATCTTTTCAACATTAGAAATGTTGGTCCACGTGCCATCATCGAAAATAATACAAGACTCCTTTACCTTTAAACATTTAAAACAATGCAAATAAATCATCGTGCCAATCCTCCAACAAGATATCAAAAGTCTTTTCAATTCATACGTTTTTATGCGGATATAATATAGTACCACATTTGTAGTTCATGCTGTTGGTAAAATTATCTGGCAAATTATACATACTTTCAATTGTGATACTCAAAAAATTAAAATCTATATCTTCCAAAATTTTTATTTCGTCTTGCTGCACCGTTATTGATATTCTAGATAAATTTTCCCAAGATACGATATTCTGATCCCAAGTATAGGATGGACTCTGAACTAGAAGTTTCTCACTAAACGTTATTTCTCCTAAAAGTAATTCCATTATATCTTATATATTACCGCAAGAAGTCACATAATTATTTAAATGTGTATAATATATTAAAATACCTAAAATAATCGGTAGCATATCGATATTACACATTCCATAAAGTTTTCGACTACTTTCTAGTTCAGACGTTGATCTTTCATTGGCTGTTTCATTATCTTTAGATTCAATATTTGGTTTTGATGAGCCATTGTCCCCCAAAATTTCAAATATCTTAACTATTGTACGATAATTTTAATATATATATATATATATATAATATTCTTATATAACAATGATTTTCAGTTATTTTGGCTCTTTAAAAAAATTATTCTATTATTCATGACAAATAGTACGTAACTTACTCAAAATAGGCGTTGATACGAGTGGGGCAATGCTGCTCGTATTGTTAGGTATATAAGATAAAGAAATTTTAAAATCTATCGGATAAACCTTAATTAAATTTTTATAACTAGAATTTATTTTAATGGTGTCACTTTCTCCTAATAGTAAATCTTCGTGTTCTATTACAATTTTTATCAGGAAACTCTCATTCCTGATCTGGATAAAAGACAAGCAATAAATGAACTAGCAATGTCGATATTCATCTAATCTTTAATTATATTAGTTTTTGTTAATGTTAAACTTACAATATTTTCAATACTGTCGATCGATATTTCAATTTCATTATGAACATCTTCATCATTATTTGAATAAGATAGAGAATCTTCAGATGCAGACTTAATTGTTTCGACTTGCATGTTATATGACTTGCCTTTAATGCTTGCTGATTAGCATTTATAAGGATGAGTAATTATTTGTCCTATTATTTATTTATCTTCTTAAAAATTATATCCTTCAAAGCGACTAATTGTAATTAAATGGAAAACCTACCGTTATGTTTGAGAAAAGCAATAGTTGTAGGTTAAAAGAGACAAATTTCATTCATTCTTTTCATTCTTTTTTTTTTCTCAATGTTCTATTAACATTCAAATAATTATCATACTAATAAAAACTAATTTGTTTACTAAATTATTCATAAAAATTCAAATTATATATTGAAAATTTTTAATTAATAAAATCAATTAGTAGTTAATCTTAAAAGAATATGTTTATAATTATTTAATTTATCCGTAGTGTAATTTTTTTTTTTTTTTTTTTTTTTTTTTTTTTTTTTTAATACCTAAATGATGTACATTGTAATAAACAAATGTATATATATGAAATTATAAACGATCAAAAAGTTGATTGCTCTTTCATTTTAATTATGTTTAACTTAGGACAAATAAATTATACGAAATAAGGAAAAGTAAGGAAAATTAGTTTGTAAATTTATAAAATATTAAAACAACCCAAGTTATTGATATATTTTATAACTTTCATCGCGATTAGCTTCACGAGACTCAAACTAAAAAAATTAGTCTACGAAATTATTACGACGTTTGACTTAAGTGGGTGTAAAATTTATAAATTAGGTCTATTATAATTTTGATAGCAAAGTTTGTTATTATTAATTTTTGTCGATAAATAAATAGTTCCAATATGTTCTTATTGTATTTCTCGAAAAGTAAAACTTCAAAAGCTATATATAAAAAGGAATTATTTTTAAATTTGTTATTATATTGATTGTGGTGAAAATTGTCCAATTATGCCTGGAGACTTGATGATTTTTTTAATTCAGCACCACCATTAATGCCCTAGACGACAATGCGGATTGTAGGATAATAAAAGAAACGGAATTGCCAGAATGAATGTGCCGCGTAATAAATGACAATACAAGATAAAAATTATTTGTGCGAATTGACACTTTAGTTTTATATGAAATGATCATGTTATATTATTTAGTATATCATAAAATAATAGTGTGCGTAGTACAATGGAGAGTCGGTATATTATAATTATGTATTTTTATATACAGCAAGGCACTATAAGTTAATAATATTCGACGACAAGTATGGCGAATACATGCATTATATCGTTCCTTTTGCTTTCATCACTGTATAAGTTGATATAAAAATGAATCGCTGAATAAAAATAGAAAGTGACTGCTTTGTGCCCGCTGATTCCTGTTCATCTTTCGATTTTCCACATTTTTGGCAACTGAGTGTTGCCGCGCGTAAAAAAATCTCGCTGCTTTATAAAACTTTACTTAATGTTAAAACTTGAAATCACTCTTCAACTTTCATTAAATATAAATATAATATACGAGCCATAATAAATAATTGTTGTTAATAATTATTGAAAAATCAATGATATAGTTGCGAATGTTTAATTAGAGTTTGTGTTGGAATTTAATGTTTAATAGTGACGTAAGATGAACATAATTTTGAAAGATGGAATTTATACTCATCGATCCGAAAACTTTTATAATTTTACTATTATTTTTTCATAAGAAACAACAATTACTTCGTTATTTTCATATTTATCCCCCTCCCCCTCCCCCTCCACCTCCTCCTCCTCCTCCTTTTATATACATATTAATTATAGTGATCTCAAAGTTTTATCAATGAGTCTTAGAGTATTTTCCGGCACGGCATCAGTCAATGTTTTTCGGAATCCCTCGCATTGCGACAAGAGTCTAAAAGTTTCCTTCGCATATTTCCTACAAATGAAAATAACAAAATGATTATGTGCTTCATTTTATTAAGCAACTATTGATTACAGCGAAAGTGTAATGTGAAAATTGAGATTAATGGGCGTGTGCCTACAACGGTTTATAAATACAACAGTATATAGAAAGATTTCCTACCTCGATTGCAAATTTCCATCGGTGAGAAGTTTCGCTGTTGTCGCAAATAATTTTTCTTTAACATCCCGTGGTAAAATCATCACATGCTCCGAACCGATTTTAGTGACGGTAACAAGCAACAGCCGTGCAGTCGTTGCATGAACAATAGTATTTTGATGACTGCAGCGATAATTATAATATAATAAATATAATAATTATAATAGTAAAATGTAATCGGTGCCTTCGTACATTCCATTTATCGGTCATTTTTATTGTTTATAGCGTATATTTTTAAGTCAATTATACATACCTAGCACCGCGATTCGCGATAGTTACGATTGTTCGATGTGGTGGAAAATGTTCCACCATGCTGTCCAAAGCACTATTACAGTCCTCGCGAAGAAATTTATTAGTGTCAGCGGTTCTATGCAAAAGCGGTCCTGCTATCTCATCAAGATCCTAAGCAATGAGAAAGATCGAAAGTATATTAGCATTGATCTATTTATTGGTTTTGAATTTGGGATAAGCTGAGCAATAGCATGCGCGTACACTTGGTACATAACTTGTACTTTAGAAAAAGAAAACGACACAAAAAGCAACACTGGTTAATGAAAAATAAGAATAAAAGTTTTATAAGAATTTAATTTAATAGTGACGTTAATATATTAATAGGCTTTGAAAAATGTAATCCACGATATAATTAATTAATACTCGACAAATTCAAGTCAATTTTAATGGGGAAACGAAAGAAAGAATGAAGCGATTCACTGCGAAATATCACACTATTATAATGAAAAAATGTTAATTAAAATATTGATTTTCTGCTGCTTAAAACTCAACTCGTAATAATTGTCTCGCGCAATAACCAAATGAACTACTCGAGGTTAAGCAGACACTCATACCTGATCGATGCCTCGAATGTGTGTGGCGAACACCTGAGTAGCTGCCGAGCAAGCGGCTCTTGCTACTTGGGAGCGCAAATTTGTCACATTCTTGCCGAGGACACGAGCTAGTAGTCCAGGTGTACAACTATCTAATAATTCAGGCTCGTCCTTGGCTATTTCCGATAAGACTTTTAACCCCTTTAACGTTATTTCCCTGAAAATCGTGAAGTTTTCAGTTAAGCTTTCTGAAATAAATAGCTGCTACCTTGTGTGACAATTTACTTATCGACCCACCAGTTTTTGCTTTCCAGCTGTTCAAAACACTGTCGTATTATCTTCGACTTCTCCACGGGTTTGTCATAATGTCGATGATTGCCCGGCACTGAAACTGTTCTTTTGCAATTTAACTGCGATTTTATTTTGCAAGGGGATACTTTACACGATCTTTTTGAAATATCAATTGGCTGCTGCATCTGGCGTGACATCTGTAATGTAACCAAGGCAATTATGAAAATTATGCATTAAACATTCACTGACCTCTTGCTCACCTATCAATTATAAATTACAGCTCAAACGAAATACAAAATTAATATTCATTTTAATTTAACGTATATAATAACAAACAAACTGACACTGATAAATTACTAATAAGATTGTTTGTTGCAAACGTTATTAGAGTACACTATACAATTGCATACGTATGCCGACATAAAGATGAAAATTATCAAAATATTAATAATAGTAATAAATTGACCTCAAGATTAAAGAAATTTCATGGCTTTGCTGCCGGTGCATAAATTTCAACTTACATACGTACTTATTTAATTTTTATTCATATTTTCTTATTGGATTTTACGTCCATTTTTCAGGCTAACAAGCAAACAATCGATATTCATTAGTGACAAACAAAATATAATACAGTAAAAGATTAAAAAAATAATATTTAATAAAATATATTTACTTATTACGAAATGTTTTCAAGTATTATCAAAATAAATTGTAAAGTCGAATACAATTATTTTCATTATTTATAATATAACTTAGAAGCAACTTAGATAGCATCATTCCTATTATTAAGGCTACTTGAAAACGAAATCGATAAATAACCTGAGGCTTGACGATGACATCGTCAGCTTCATCGGTAACGTCGGTAGTCACGACTTGTTTAACGTTGTTAAAACCAATTCGAAGTGGCGGAGTTTGACCCGAGTGCGTGTCCTTCAACGATCGATCTTGATTTATAAATCTCCTTGGGCTCGAATTTTTAGAAGTCTAAAAATAAAAATAGCTCCAAATAAATAACTAATAATTTAAAAAATTTAATTAAAATAATTTTAAAAGCATTTTTTACCCAAACAATGATATATGCCATAGAGTGTTTAATCCTAGAACTGAGTGATTCGCGTTTGTAAATAAATGATATATGTTAGATTTAATGATAATTATAAATGTTAAATAAGATGATTGTTCAAAATATCATTTTTTTCATTTTTAATTCTTAAGGTTTGAATGACGACATAGTGATACCACGTAGTGGACAGAAATTATAATTAAGGTATAATACGACGTTACGATCATTTATTTATTTTTTTTAAAGATAAAACGTTTTATACGTAAATCGTAGACTAATTGATTTTCGTAAAAATAATCTTATACTGGTATTACTACTACTACTACTACTACCACTACCACTACTACTACTACTACTACTACTACTACTACTACCGCTACTACTACTACTACTACCGTCTACTGCTACCTTCTGCTACCGAATGGATTTTATTATTTATAAAAACATTATAAATATGGACTGTTTTTGTCCAAACATAAAGAGCTTGAAAATTGTAACGCTCCTGTTATTTCTTTGTTTGGTTTGTAAAGTATTGTTAAATCCCTCGTACACAATGTAAAGTTGTAAGCAAATAAAATTCTAATTACCGTGAGATCGTCGTTGTTGTTGTTGTATACGGTGACGCTGGAATTGTTTTTCAAATCGTCATCTAATGTATAGGACATCCTTTTTCGAACTGGTGAATTGCCAATGCCTGTCATTATCTTCACATCTCCTGCAGAATTTCTCACGGCACCAATTTTGGTCGCACCCTTAACCTCGCCAGTTTGAAAATCCTCCGTCTCTTCACCGACGCCGTTGGTGCGGTTATTCAACTCCACCTTTACACATTTAACGATTAATCCGGAGAAAGGTATTTTCGCTTTTTATGCAATGTTTTCCATATATCCGTAGCTCTTTCATTTTTAATGGCGAATTAGTTTATTATTTACCGAAATTTGTTTAGACGAAGAAAATCTTTCGATAAAATTACTTTGACAGCATAGTGATAGTAACAAACTTCATACGCTTCCACTGTATAATTACTTTAATAAGAGGGGCTGCTTTCTTTTTATGACGTGTGAATTTTTATTTTAATTAGTCTTAACAATGATTGGTTTTAAAGATATAAATACATCTTTTATCTATGTCGATGTAATATTTATGATCATATTTTCATAGCGTGATCAGTGCCATTATTTCTAAAAATCAAAGTTTAACTTTTAGCTGACTATAATAATAAGTAGGAGAGGCTCCTGTTAGCAGCATATCATTGAAAATTTGATATGCCAACTAAAAAAGAAATTTTTCTTTGATTATTGTCATCAGCTTTAAAAGCATTTGAAAATAATCATTTTTTACGTTTCATAAAGATTCTACCGTTTATATTAATTAAATAGTTTTTATGCGTAATCTCATGAAGTTTTATCGATTGGAATTAAGAATCATTGGACGATACAATCTTTTCAATTTTTTCTTATTTTATTCTAATAATAACGAACATTACATTACATTAACATTTGAAGGTATACATTTTAGCTCTCTTTGTAATATTTTAAATAATTGCTTAATAATTTGTAAATCGAATCTGATTACTAATAGCGATTACTGTAATCGCCAAATATATAGCAATAAACATTTATGAAAAACGTTTAGAAAATATTTTGTTGAATTCTATGAAAAAATAATTAATATATAAAAATACTTAATCAAATATATAATAAATCTCAATGATGCAAGTTTATCAAATGTTCAATGATCGTGTTCGATTCATTCGGGCAATTAACTTTGTTGCTAATAGATAATTTCGAATTAATGGATTTATTAACTCAACCGTCTTATTGGCCTTTTTACGTTTTATTTATGATAAATTTACTAATGTGAAATATTAAAGTCGATAAAAAATTGCAAATAAAACTAATATAATAAACGATATAGTCACACGAGGACCTTATGGATTATAAGGATTGATATGAAGCTTGAATTAGTCGAGAAAAAATTGGGTGAATTAGCTCATAAATGTCGAAAATTTCTTTCACAAATTTCACAATAATAAAGAATTTATATATAAAATACAATAAGCCGTGATTAGGTCTAAGATGGCAGTCAATTCGCGGGATGATGGGCTTAAAGTAAAGGACTCACCATCGAAGGACTAAAGCGGCCATCCCTCGAATCCTCGTCATTCGAGCTCTCTGATGGAGCTCTGGAGGAAATGGGCGTTACGTAGTCACCGACGGCTTCGTCCTCGTCGCCGTCTTCATCGATAAGCGATTCCAGCGAAAGCTTTGTTGGACTGTCCGAGCTCGATCCCTCGAGTTCCACGTCCACCTCCGCGTCCGAATGAATGGAATCCTTCGATAGAAGTTTAATTGTATTAGAATTAAAAGGCTTGCTGTACTTTATTTTTGGTACGGTAAAAGGATCGACGACAAAGTATTAGCGGAGGATACTTGTGGTGAAATTACATTCGCGCTCTAATTTGAGATCGATATCAATCTTAGCCGTTCAATTCTTATTAATTCATGAAAGTGTAGGCAATTTTTCAAGAAATAAAAAAGATTAAATGAAGAAAATAATAATTTAATTGCTAGATAGCCAGTATTCGCTAAGTTATATAAAAGTTTCTCCGCTAAAAAAAAAAAACTATTTGTAAATAATCGTTAAGATTTACATTCGTTTTTTTTTCAATTTTGTCACAACATTGAAGAGATGTTACATATCGTTTTATATTTCGAAATAGAGATTAATATAAAAATATTGGATATTTACATTGTGAAGTCTCGGGTATAATGTAATTTTGTCGCTCGCTTGACTTGTTGCGCGAATAAATAGACCAAGTGGCAATACAATTATAATCGATCATAGTGAAAATCTCGAACCGAGCGATTGTTAATTGAATACTCACGGCGTCTGGTGTGTTGCATCTGCTCGGATTACTCTTGGCGGATATAACGTCGAAAGCTTTATAATCCGACCTGTTGTCGGGGGAAGAGAGCCGACTACTCTCATCGACGTTGTTGCTCGACTCTTCGCTCTCTGTGCGCACCAACAGCGTTTCATGACTCCGCACCCTTTGGCTGTTCGTGACCGATCGATTCGAGGATGAAGCGCTGCTACCGTTCGATCTCACCTCATCCGCATCTGCAATATATTTTTGAAAAATCGCGGCCTGCTTATCCGTTACTTTTACGTTCATTGGCCATTGATTTTCATGCATAAATGACATCACTTATGCACATACGTACGGCTAAACTTATTGTTCTGACGTTGAGATCCGTATGCTCTTTTCGATCAGTCTAATATCAGCAATAATACTAACACGGTAATTTATAATATAAACGACCTACTTTAACTTAAAATAACAAGTTAATAAGTTTATAATAAGCAGAAGAAGATATATATTAATTATTCTCAATTAGCTATAAAATACTATTAAAAGTATTCATTTAAAGTACTTTTTTCACGGACTTTTAAAGAAAAAGTCTACTTTTTTAAGCATAAGAAAGTACCATTGAGTTTCATTGATTGATGCCATTACTATTTTCTATAAATAAATATATAATTCTAGGCGAAATTTATAAATTTTCTAAGAGAATTTTAAAACTTGAAAATGAAAAGAGACGCTTTAAATGTGAATTTCATAAGATTATCTTTTACCTACAGTTAAGAAAGAAAATCTTTAAGGTACATTTGAATTATATTTTGCATAATTAGTGCCAATAATATCTGAATTAGTATAAACAATAAATTTCTAACTTTTTACTTGGGCTATTCATCATTAAATGTGCGTATAATCGTAAATTATACTAACGACTCATTTTAATTGATATTCTTTTGTTATTATAAAATTTTTTTATTACGTCTAATTCACTTTATTAATAGAAGAGGTAAATTATGTTTTCTAGTGTGCGTGAATGCGTATCACCAAGCATAAACTTAATAATTAGCAATTTACGTTTAAAATATTTATCTGATTAATCAAACGGCTTTTGCAACTCTTTAACGCACTCGCCTACCGACAATGTAAAGAAAAGCAAAATATAAAACGCCGATAAATTATACGTATAACAGCGACGAGAAAAATCTTCTGTACTCATAAAGTGTGCAATAATAGCACTGAATGTGCCCAAGTACATCCCCTTCCCTGGTAACATTCGCGATCGTTTTCCGCACGGTATTCTAGCATATAATGACTGACTCTACACATACGGGCAGATAGTGAGCGTAATCGTCGTGGGCTTGGAGTTTTAACGGAAGCAAAAGCCTCCCGAATGGTGAAACAAATATATATATATATATATATATATATATATATATAGAGAGAGAGAGAGAGAGAGAGAGAGAGATACCGACGAATAGTAAAATAGGCGAAACTGTTTTCCTTTCTCACTTCTTCTCTTGCTCGCTCTTTCTTTTACCTTCCTTCTTAAATATCGATTATCGCTGCAGGTCTCTGACTTTATGCCCAGAGACATTGCACGTACACGCACACGGGTATTTGCAATGCAGCTCGTGCATGCAGGACTTGGTACGTTACGGGGGTTAAGAACCTTTCGCTCTAGTTCAAATGTTTTCGATCGGTGAAAGGTAGGAAGATATAGAGAGAGAGAGAGAGAGAGAGAGAGAGAGAGAGAGAATGAGAACGCGGGTAGGGGTGTGTGCATATACAGTTTGTCTTGTACAAACTTAAAATTAGTGTAGAGTTAAATTCGAATAGCGATTGCGAGATAAAATAAAGTTTATTTATGCATTCGACATTTGTTTATCACTATCTCTCTATATTTAATTTTTTTAGGCAGCTCCTAATAATCGATTTAAAGCAAATGTTATTTTGAAGCTCTCTTAAAGTTCGTCAAGGTCCTTAACCTCACCATCGTATCAAATTCGCCCGCTACAATAGCTCTTCCTTTATCACGAAGTAGATTTTTATAAATGAATAATACATATTGTTTTCCATTTCCAATGGAATATTTTCAAAATTTTAAATTATACTATAAATTTAATTGCTTCGCTTACTTTATATTGCAATTATTTATTTTTTCTTTAGCTTAAAAAGATATTTTAATCTTGAATGAGTTTTAATAGGTTAAATATTGCAGCAATGTTACTCTATTAAATACAAAACTATCGTAATGTGCTTGACGATACTTTGGGAAAGCACTAAATTTATGACGCATTAACAATTAATTGTTAAGTGTTTCTCTTATAATTATCAAATGCTTAATACTCGTTACTCACGCCACTATTGCAAAGTACGTTGATTTAGTTATGTTTTGAAAATTAAATAGCGAACAAACGATATACAACTGAATGCATCGAAATATACATTCTCGTGGTTCTTAAGTAGTCTATTGTTCATGCATTGTTGAATTTTTGTGAAAAGTAAACGTGGAAAAATGTTAACTTACCGCAATAAGACGATGATATCCTTTCGCTTTTTATGGGGGAAGGTTTTGGTGAAATATGTTTCTTATCACTGTTCGTGGTTTCTTTTTCTGGCGTTTGGTTAGTCCTGAAATAGTTTTTGTTAGATTATATGTGTAGCAAATAATATTAATAATTTAAAACTCTAAATTGATAATGAATTTTTTTTTAATAAGGACGCGATACGTTAATTATTAAAATGTTCATTAATAATGAACGAGATGAAAGTTATTGTATACGTACGCAATTCACATATTAGAAAGGAGAAAACAGAAATAGTAAGGTGCTTAATGCGATGTACAGGTGCCAATCAATAATAATTTAAAATTTAGTCTTTATCGAGGTTAGAAAAATATAAGATAAGTATTTTAGTATAAGATAAGGATAAGATTTAAGTTGAAATAAAAATAAATTAAAAAATGTTCATATAAGCTTAACTCATAATAAGAAAAGTATTATTTTACTTGCAATCGAATAGCAAAATACATGAAGTGTGACTATTATTCAATTATCATATCTATTTATTTTGCCTTTATTTATTTGCTGTATAAAAACTAAAAAATATGATTATCCGACGATTATATAAATACGACGATTCTGAAATTATTCTAAAACATAATAATTGAATACATTGTTATACAAATATTAATGCAAGTTATTGATTTTAGAATATGCAGCTATTAATTACCATAACTATTTATAATAATAATAACTATGGAATAATTATATTTGAATAGGGATGACTAGTAGCATTTTAACAATCTTATGTTTATAATAAGAATAGAGATGATGCGTAATAATAAGAATGAATAAATTATAAAGATGAATGATATAAAACAGTGAAAGAATATTAATTTAATGATTTAAGAGGTGTAAGCTTATGAAATTCAAACTTATGCAATGTAATGACATTTTCAAATAAGCTTTACTTAATCACAGTATAAACAAAAATCACATATATTCATATTAAGTGGGTAAGAAAATTTCTGCTTTAATTTCATATTATTATTATATTGTATTTCATAATGATATTTTAAGGGACTTATATTTGCTGGTCACCGTCACTTTTCAAAACTTTATTTTGTAAATTTAAATTTACTTTAATTTAATTTGTTTATATGCTTATAAATATTACGCAACTATGGACAATTCGATTAAGTTTTTGTGTCTTAAAAATTAACATCAGTAATTAATAGTGCAAAAGTATTGCGCGGTTTATAAAATTATAAATATTGTACTTTTTCTTATAAATTGTTAAATAGACATAATATGTAATTCCACAATATTTTTGATCTAATATAATTGTAGAATCTTTTATATAATTGTATAATTTTCGAAATGTAAGTGAGATAAAACTTTTTATAAACTATTGAATAAACGTTATACGAGTATTTTACAATATAATCAACTGTAAATTAATTATGTTATTCTATTTTTATATCCAGTAGACACTATTTACTGTAAATGCTAATGGTAATACTAGAAATTCAATTTTTATTGAACCTAGATCCATCAATCAATATGACCCAGAATATGCATGAAAGCAAAAAATATCAAATGATATTTATCGTTAGATACGATTAGAAGTGATTTTGTGGTAAATATAATTTTTTTTTTTTATTTTTTTTTTATTTTTTGTTTCATTATTATGCACGTATTATTATTATTAAAGTATCGAAAAAAGAAAAAAAATGGTTTGCACGTACGTATGTATTAATAAATCTTGTCAATACATTTTTAACAAATAGCCATATAATGAAATTCTTTTATAACAAGAAATTATCTATCCATTATATACTTTAATAGAATTCGTTTCATCTATTAACAAATATCCTCTTTTAATGTATGAAATTACGTAATAATTTTTTTCAAGATCTTTGCTATTCTAATATTCTTATACGGATCTTCATATTTTTTCAAAATATTTACAAACCAATGTTCACATTTAACAATTACAATTGCAATTTTATGAAAAATAAGCAGACATGTATCAGTACTACAAATTACATACTCTAGTTGCATTTCATTTAGAAGCATTGCTCTTGTAAAAGCATCGATTGCTTATTCGATCTTCGATTCCATAAATATTATCATAAATACACTGGTCGTCGAGGAATCTGTGCCATTAATATCTAATGATAATATATGTAAAATTTCAATTCTGCTTTTATGAAGAAGGGGTAGATGCTTATATTTTACATAGTGCCATATTAATCCTACATTGTGCCGCGGCTGTCGTCGCTCTTGACTGCGAAGATCGGTGTCGCGGTCCTGGCTGCATGTCCTCCGACTGACAGCTCCGACACATTTCTCGAGTCGATCCCGATGGACCTTCTGCTACGAAAGAAACAAGGACAGCAGCCCAGGAGACCATCCGACAAATTCTTACCAGTCGGAGGTTCGAGGGGAAGTTCGGATGAGGTTACAGTCCCGTTGCCGAGGACCTTGCCATTGGGCTCGTCCTTAGCCACTTCTGGCCAGACGCAGTATTTGAAAATCATCTCCAGCTTCGAGTCATTATCAAGAGGCTGGATCGTGTTGCTCAATTTGGAGTTGCATGTTCAAGTAGCACTTAAGTGGCTGTTCGCGAATCAGCACTGCTTATTTCGTCGCTTCCTTCCTTCCACTTGTCTACGATACATCTCTTAATGAACTTTATTGTCTTAAGCACTCGCTCAACTTCGCAACATTCGAAGGAGAATTCAACCCGTAATGATTTATTGCTTATCAACCGCAAAGGAAGGCAGTATTTCATTCTTTAACACGTGGGCAATCATTTCTTTTTTAACATAAAATTTGCTGAACGCTAAATACAATTGAAAAAAAAAAAAAAAAAAAAACTATTTAATACAATTTCTTAAGCCGGATAATGGAAGAAAACCATATAATCATTAATCTGTACAATGTTATGTGTGTTAAAAATATATTAGTCTTATTGCATCTAATAATTAATACAAATATTAGCACGATATATGATAATACTTAAGTCCGTTTATTAATAATTTTTTTTATTTTTTTTTTTTAATAAAAGTGTATAACAACTTATTTTTTATAAATTTAATGACAATCTTAAAATACATATTTCGATAAAATAAACATTGATACTCTTATATTTGAAAATATTCTCAAATTTACAACACATATTTATTTATTTATTAATGTATATTAAAAGAAAAGGAAACTATTCGATTAATTATAATTAGTAAGTAGCATCCATTAAAAACAATAGATAATTAATTTGTTTTTATAGAAAATTTTTTTGCCCTATTGTAATAAATTATATAAATAAATTTTGTATTTAGTTAATAAAAGTTAAAATGAAATTAGTAATAACTTTAAAAATTTAAATGCATTCAATTGCTTACATTTTAAAATACTTTCTTTATTAAAGAATGAAGAAGTAATTTTGTTTAATTACAAAAAAAAAATACTATTAATTTAAAAAAATTAATTACATATATATATATATATAATTTCTTTTAAATAATGATATATTTATATTAATTATTATTATGACAATGATTTACTAATTTTGAAGCAGAAAAGACAACAACAGTTCGATTATTTACCACCTTAATTTACATCTTAGTTCCATTAAACTTAATTATAAACATTTTTATAATTATTAACAAAATTATTTTTAATTTACATGAAGTTTAGCGTAAACGAAGTATCTCATAAATAATATAATATTGTACTTTTTCCACCTTAAATTGTAGCCAACACGAAAATTTTATTATTTGGTATTGACATTTCGCGTAAATAATTAAAATTAGCGTATTATTATAAAAGTTTAAGGTTTTTATAGGTAAGATTTTTTTAGCGATTGTTATTATTTCAAGTAAATAGAAACATTTTAAAATAAAGTGATACTGCCGTGTATTTTACATTACTCTCTCTCTCTCTCTCTCTCTCTCTCTCTCTCTATATATATATATATATATGAAAAATTTCTTTGTATTCAATTAGCAAGAATTGTTTAATAAGTTATATTTCTATATTTTATATGATTTTCATAGAAAAAAATATGTAATCTCAGAAGATTAATATATTAATTTTAATAAGAGATTATTAAGATTAATATATTAATTATTTAATATATTATTTTTACATTATAAACTTGACTCATTTCAATTGAAATAAATTTTGTATAAATAATATTCTTTTCATTAAAATTAATCTAGAAAATTTTAAATTATATTATATAATTTTAGTTAAATTGCAATAAATTAACTGCGATTATTTTTAACGGTAATAATCGTGAGGTGTAAGTATTCCGTACAGTGAAAAAGTATTTTACTATAAAGCTGCTTGTAATTTACTTCAACTTGTACGTAGCCATAGTGTAGAAAGTGAAGGTATATTAAAAAAATTTCCCTTTCACGTTTACAGTTTTAAGTATACGATAAATATCACGAATAAATGTGCATGACAATAGTACTTAATTACTTTGTATTTAAACTTTCTATCGGTCATCGGCTATATTTTAAAAATATAACATACGACAAAGATTTCTGGTTTCACATTAAATTATTAACTAAAGAGGAAATTAAAATACATAATTCATTAATATACATCTATTATTATTATGAATCTCCATTTAAGCGATAAGTAAGCATGTTTTGTATTCTTTATTTAAGTTTATTAAATTCTAGAAAACTAATCAATAACATGCAAGCTACAATAATAAAAATATATCGTTTAATAATTTCATAAAGTTGAAGTTGAATTTATTTGCGTAACAAATTAAGATGGAAAAATCATGCTATATACGAATTTACAATCCTTAAAAAAGAAAAAAAGGTACTCTAAAAAAATCTCCCGACTTATTATCACAAGCTTTGTTTTTAAATTTATAAATTTATATCCTAACCATAATATTAGCAATAACGAAGTCAAGTCAATCGTACATTCATTGGCATCTACGTCCCAACAAAAGAAAATCCTCTGTGAAAAAATAAACGCGTCGATTGTTCACTCGCGTAAAGGCGCCAAGTGCGGATGTTCACGCTTTTTGGCTCGACGAGGGGAAAGGAGAGAGCCGAGTAAAGGTACGCGACAACGGAGCAGGTAGGACCGGTTGCAATAGCGAGAGTCACGGGATTCGAGAGTGCGGGTGCGGCCTCTCGAGGAGGAGTAATCGCGTGCGTGCACAGCTCGTAAGAAGATTGATTGTGCACGGGACAATGGCGAGGGGCGCGATAAATCGGGGAAGGTGGCTCGTTGGTATGGAGGGGGGTGGGGGAGGGGAGAGCCGAATCGGTCGGACGTAACTTGGACTTGGAGCTTACTTGAATTCTCGAGTCGACTCGTTCGCGAGACCGTGAGACGCGCGACTGCGGTTGCTTTCCCTTGTCGCTAGTCACCGGCTGAGACTGTAGACTTTCGCGATGGACGAGGGATGGAGCGAAGGGGTCGGAGGTCGGAGGGTGCTGTGGAAGTTGAAAGGACGGGAGGGAGAAAGAAAAGAGAGGGACGGGGAAAGCACGTGACGCTGACCACTCGAATCCCCTTGTGCACGCCCGTGATACCACCCTCAACCCCCCCACCACTCCAATCGTCTCACTCTCTCTCTCTCTCTCTCTCTCTCTCTCTCTCACCCACTCTCATCGCGCATGCACACACACACTCGCGCGCGCGCGCGCGCACACGCATGCACACACACACCCGCACACGCACACACGCACACGTACACGTACATATACACACAGAGATCACGATAAGCCGCGTGCCACTGTGAATTCATTATATGTTTATATACGTTGCTCACTACGACACAGTCCCTTTTCCATATTGCCATTGGAAATACAATTTTCTCTACTACCAACATGTGAAATATTAATGGTAAAAAATATTATTTGTAATAATGAATGCATATACCTCTCTAGCACTGGATTTTCAAATAACTATTATATTTTAATGAACCACGATAGGTCTTGTAAACGAGTTTTTAAAAGTAAAATAAAAAACAAAACAATCTAATAGCATACAAGTATATAGTAACTATATTTATAAAACTGTAATCCAATCGTTATTTCTACATGAAAATTTTTATTTTTGTTAAGAACTTTTTTTGTATTTTCTTGTTACAATGTGATCGATAATCTACGTAAATAAAAGTAATGTCAGTTTTTTGTTTGTTTGTTTGTTTTTGTTTTTGTTTTTGTTTTTGTTTTTTTTTTTGTTTTTAATAAATGCTAGTATTTATGTACGTTTGAGATATAACTTCCAACTTGAATAGTTGCATGAATGCATTTAAATACTAATATGATAAAATACATTAAGATAACATTGTCTTGGTGATAGGCATCATATGTACAGAGTATATCCGGTTAAACTACAATTTTATTTCAAATTCATTACTTCGAGTTTTTAATGTAAGGTTTATATAGCTTATATGGCTTGCATATGGTTATAGGAGCACGAGGAATAATACGATATTTAATTAATTGGGCAACCAATCACTTTTACGAGACTTAAAAATGCAACTATCTTTTAAAACTGAAAATTAAATCCAACTCTTATATGCTTGTTTATTGAAAGTATTAATTGAAAAGTATTAAGATTTTTTACTGTATAATGGTTACGGGTTTAATTTTTTTTTTTTTTTTTTTTGCATTAGAAAAAGCACTTTATACCATGGATATAGTATTTATTACTGTAACTCTATGAAATTTGCATATTCAAATTTAAAAAATATTGTTACTTTATCGAATATGTACCACCGTGAAAAATACACAGAGAATACAAATATATGAGTATCTATATATACTTACATCTGTATGCGTGCGCCAATATATATATATATATATATATATATATATATATATCTGTAAATACTTCTAAATGAGTGTTTAATTGCACATGTTGCACATGTTAGTGCGCGACCTTTGTGCGGATGAGTGGGTGAATACGTATATTTACGCATCTTTAAAATACGCGATTAGCCAATAAATAAATAAATAAAAAATATAATCCAAATAAAGGAGACGCAAATATTATCTGTATTTAAGCAGTACATGCTTATAGAATTGATAGAAGGTAAAGTAGGCTGAATTATTTATTGCAGCTTGAATGTAGATGCCTTTTATCTTACAAGGTAAAAGCACTTTTATAAATAAAAACATCCGTACTAGATGTTGCAGAAAGGAATTGAGGTATTTTTTATTAACTCACTGTAGCCATGCCTTTCTCCATAATTCACAAGCCCAAATTTATCTAATCTAAAAATTCTTACTCGTCGATATAAATAATTGCCTGTTGGCTTAATTATTTATAGGCTCGTATACGCCCTTTACTCCCCCACCCCGCCAAAGCCAATTCGCAAGTAAACGTTGTTGCGCGTAAATTAACGGTGTTCCTAAGCCAAAGTGACGCGCGCGCACAACGCGTCTCTTACGCCCTCAGGCCTTTTGCCACCGATATGGATTACCGCGTAAACCTCTCTCAACTCTGCTAAAATAGACATGCGCGATCGAAGTGGCTAAACAGTCTTCACAATCAGGCGTAAATTGTTTGTAAATCATCA